GTTAGAGACCTTGTTTGCTCACTCAGCTCAGAGCTCAGCTCATAGAATGTGCTCAAATAAGTGTTTATCAGGTGAATAAGAGAGTAAATGAATTACTTATTTCCTTCATACATACTTGTTCCTGGAAATATTAATGTTACCTCTTGCTTTTATGTGACTGGTACACCTCACAGTCCACATTTGTTTGTAACATTTTTTCTGCTTGTACTTGATCAAAACATGATTTTTACAACTTTACGTGTTTCATGTAAAAAATTCATATAGTTTCAAATAAATTTTTACTAACTCATGGAAAGTAAAAACACAGTGATTCCTTTTAGAGGAAGTATTTCTGGAACTGAGATTATAAGTTTTATCATCATTTGTATTCTTACACAAACATATTTCAGCAGTTGAGCTTACTGTTTTTTCCACAACTCTGTTAACCCAAAACGTTTAAGTTGCATTAAAAAGCAGTCCCCATTTTATGTCACCCAAGAGCCTTCTTAGACAAATGATCCTGGTCTTCTGGGTTAAGATTTTTTTTTTATAAAGATTTTTATTTATTCATTTGACAGACAGATCACAAGTAGGCAGAGAGTCAGGCAGAGAGAGAGAGGAGGAAGCAGGCTCCCCGCTGAGCAGAGAGCCCAATACGGGGCTCAATCCCAGGACCCCGGGATAATGACCAGAGCCGAAGGCACAGGCTTCAACCCACTGAGCCAACCAGGCACCCTGGGTTATGATTTTCAATTGAAACTTCATCACTGAATTTCCTTCCTTTAAGCAAAAAAGTGTTTTAAAAAAAATGTCTAAAAAGAAAAAGTAAGGAGGCACCTGGGTGGCTTAGTTGGTTAATCATCCAACTCTTGATTTCAGCTCAGGTCATGATCTCAGGGTTGTGGGATCAAGCCACACATTGGGCTCTGTGTTGAGTGTGGAGCCTGCATAAGATTCTCTCTCTCTCTGCCCCTCCCTACCCCACTTAGACTCTCTCTCTTTAAAAAATTAAAACAAAAAGATTGAGCAGCAAGTAACCAAACGAGGAAGGAGTATCACCTAATCCAGTAAACTTTAAAACAGACTCACAGGAACCATACAACTCACCCCTTTTTTGCCCCACAGAAATCATATGGCTGAGATTCTGAGAGCTCTTACACCAGTCTGGTATTATAACACCAAATCTGGAAGATGCAAACTGAGTGGGGATCATTGTTATTTCACTCTCTTAATTGAAGAGTAGAAGACATTGTTGCTGGGGAGCACTGGGTGAAAAGAGGGAAAAACCTTTCTTTGCCCAAAAGTCAGGGCCGCTTCTAATTTGGGCTATGCCTTGACCCAGGACACTCCAAGGAGAGCAGAGTCTGGGTGATTTATTCTGATAGACTGTATGCTCCCCCATCTTAGCTCCTGCACATCCTCAGATTTCAGAACAGTGGATAGAACATAAAATATCAGCTCTCACACTACAGCTAGGATAGAAGGGTAAAGTTTTCTTAGACATTGCAGAAAAAGAATTAAGAAATCATCCATGCTTTGCAAATGTCTGGAGAGCAGTGTCTAACCACAAGCATGAAGAAAGAAATGACATTGTAGTTAACGCAAATATCCCATGATGGGAAAATAAAGAGGAAGGAAACAGCATGTAAATGCTGACAACTGATCATAGAGGAAAAATAAGAGAGATTGCTTCCAATTGCTTGATGCTGCACATCACCTTAATGAGAATTCAAATTAAAAAAAACAAACAGACAAAAAAATGATAATAATGCAATGAAATGGAAGATTATACATCCAAGGAAATGTAAATAAATTACATATAGCAGAAACTGGAATGAAAATCAAATCACTGACAGCTTTATAGACATTCCAACAAATACTGATTGAAATAATTAGAAAGCAAAGAGACACAGAAGAGAGGACATCCAATATAAAGGTAATTGCTGTCACTGAAGAAAAGAACCAAACAAATAGGACAGATGGATTGAAATAGCATAAGAGGTTTCAGGAAAATTATATAGCTCTTCCACAACAAGACTGGATTTGATCAAGTTATTGAATTTTTGGCATAAAGGACAGATATTTGGGTAGGAAACCTCAGGGAGTTCTGGTCCTCCTCTGGCTGGGGTCACAGTCAATCTGCAGAGAGCCTTCACTGTGGTCTTAGATGGTCAGACACTGTGATTGGAATACCAGGCCATTGTGGGTGGTGGAGTGTGTGCCCTGTGTCATCATGGTCATCATGAGACCAACCAGCAAGGAGGAGTTTGGGAGAGAGATGGCTGCAGCTCTGGAAGACACCTGTTACTGAATTCCTGAAGTTTGTCTTTGCTTATCTGCTTGTCCACGTCTTAGAACTAGTTGTTCAGTATTCTGTTATCTTGGACTGAGCTCCCAGAAGAATTTATTTAGTGCTTAGAATTTCTTATGTTTTATTGCATCAATATTTATTTTAACTTGTGTTTGCTTCTCTGGGTTGTGAAAAGAGTCACAACCTGTTATGTAAGATCTTTTGGCAGTTCATCTGTGCCGGGTTATTGAACCTGCCAGTGCCTTAGTGTCTCTGATAAGCTCTTGAGCTAAACTGTCATTGACTAGGAGGAGCAAAATGCATTAAGATACAGATTGAGCACCCTCTGTGTCACTTGAAAGAGAGGGGGGTTAAGTCATCTAGAGATTTGGGCTCCCTCTGTTTCTTTCCTCTCTTTCAATTTTACAGAGACAGGCCTCTGGCTTGACCATTAGGTGTCTTATGTGTTTTCAGAAGCCATGCTAGTCCTCAGGAGAGCCCTTCCACAGCCAGAGGTCCATAGAAGTATTATAGTGCTACGTAGTCCATTTTGTAAAGACATTAGCCTGTTTGGATTTTAGTTATTTCTACCTAAGTAAAATATAATATTGTGACTTTAAAAGGTAGTGAGAGAGAGAGAAGAGAGGAGGGAGAGAGTGGGAGGACGAGAGAGAATGGGAGTGACAGAGTTCTTCAGGCTCCCAAACAGAAAAACAGACCACATAAAAACAGGAAAAATCAGAATGGCCTTGGGCTTCTCCATCGCAGCATTCACTACCAGTATTATTTCAAGGGAGCAGCATCTGCAAAGTTCTGACGGCAAGAAAGGATGACCCAAGATACTATACCCAGCCAAGATGTCATTCAGCTCTAAAGTGAGCAAGCAGATATTCTTAAACACCAGATAATTTAGGGAAAGGAACACATAGGAGCTCCTCTAGAAAATAACCACTTGGCAACAAAATCTGGCCAAGTAAGAATTAAAGACTCAAGGAGAAGTTGTGGTAAGAGGATGGTGAGGAGATTGCTTCACCTAAAAGAAAGGCCCAGTACTAAAGAAGTATGAAATCACAGTTATCGAGTGGGATGTGAGTACGCAAACCTGGACAGTGTAAAAATTATTTGACAAAAATTGGGAGAAGAAATGGGAGGAAATGTGAATGCTAAGTTTTCAACTTTTAAGGCGGGAAGTTAATGGATTCTGTCCAAAATTAACTTAATTTTGTATGTAACTTAAAAACTAAAGTGAATCCAACTTCTAAATAATTATTCATGTGTTTTTAAAAATGTGGAATATTGAAATAATCAAATCATAGCTGGTTTTAATGTAGCATTCATATTCAGTAAATGTCGCCATTTTGTTTTAGATCATGCATAAAATCTTTAAGTCAAAAGGAAAGGTTCAGAGAATAATAATGAATACTAATGCATACACCACCTAAGTTAGGAAATAAGACATTGCTAATATAATTAAAGACCCCTGCATGTTCCACCCCAATCTCAAAGATAACCAATATCCAGATTTTTTGGTGTTTGTTCACATACATATCTTTACACTTTTAGTATATATGAACATATATAGAATTAATAAATTAACGGTTTTTAGTCATTAAAGAAACAGTATCCTGCAGTTTGATTTTTTTAGCTTAACATTGTTTTGAGACTTATGTTGAGAAGGTGTTCAGGTATATTTATTTTTCACTCTATAATTCTATTAGATAGATATACTACAATTTATTAATCCATTTTCTATTGATGAACATTTATTTGTATTCTTTTTTGCTTATGTTGATAATAAGACTTTCTTACATCTTCTTGTTCACATAATAATGTTTTTCATGATAAACTTGGATTATTCAGGAAAACTTAGAAAAAATAACATTTAGAGTAGAACAATAGCATTGTTTTCCCTTTGATTTCTTTTTTCTATTAAATTATATAAAATTAACACTGTTTATTAAAAGTATCTAGAGGATGATCCCCTTTGTATAAATGTATATTGTCAATGTATTCTATTTGTATATATACATGGAAAAATGTCTGGAATGATGTTAACTTAATGTTTAATGCCATGATAGCCTAGTTTTCTTGAAAATATGACTTTAAAAAAATCAGTTAGGAGTGCCTGGGTGGCTCAGTGGGTTAAGCCTCTGCCTTTGGCTCAGATCATGGTCTCAGGGTCCTGGGATCAAGCCCCACATCAGGCTCTCTGCTCAGCAGGGAGCCTGCTTCCCCCCCCTCCCCCCGCCAGCCTCTCTGCCTACTTGTGATCTCTCTCTCTCTGTCGAATAAATAAAATCTTTTTTAAAAAAACAGTTAGATAAAGAAAAGGGAAAGTTAGGAATTTTCTTTTACTTAATCATCATTCATTTTCAGTACCTGTCTTCAATCTCACATGACTAAACGAAAGAGAAGTTACAGCAGTAAATGCCCCTTCTGTGTAACGCAACTTGCAAGTGACTTAGACTGTGTGTAGGAGAGGTTTCCAGGGAGTATTAGAAATTTCCAGTAGCTTTGTTTTCCCTTGTCCCCGGGTTGTGCAGCCCAGCCCCCCCCCCCAAGTTCTGACTTGCCTCGTGGACTCAGCTGTTAGGTTGGTTTGTTTGGAGAGGTTCCTTACGGGCCGGCATATTTAATGAGCATCTCCAAACTGCATGATTATCACAAGTAGAAGAACATAAGATACTCTGCTTTGTCATTTGGGTAAAAATATAATCTGTTTGTTTTGTAGGTATGACCTTGCTTCTAGGGAGTGGCTTACCCTGAATCGTTCTGTGAACAATGTGGTTGTCAGATATGGCCATTCTTTAGCATTATACAAGGTAAGGTGTCTCCCCTCTGTACAAGCTAGAAATTCCGGTCTTCCACACTTGCCTTATTATATCATGTAATCGAAAAGCTACATAGTGTTGGGGTTTTGTCGCTAATCTTCTTTGCTGTGGTAAAATACACATAATATAAAATTTACTGTCTTAACCATTTTTAAGTGTACAGTTCAATGGTATTAAAGACATCCCTAATGTGTAACTATCACCACCATCCAGCTTTGTGACTCTTCATCTTGTAAAACTACACCACTGAGCCTGTGAAATAATAACTTCCCACATCCCTGCTCCCCTCCAGCCCCTGGCAACCACCATTCTCTTCTCTGTCTCTCTCATTTTGACTTCAGTTTTGGTTTTTAGGTAGGGGGAGTCTTTCTGGGTTTTTTTTTGGGGGGGTTGTATATAATAGGCTAAGTTGTAAGTGGAAATTAAAGTTGAAACCAGTTTAACCTGAGAGATTTTAATGGATTCTAGTTGTACTGGGATATTACAGTTGTTGTACTAAATGGCTAAAAATTAATACTGTGTCAGTTAGCTTTCATGTTAATTAGGAAGTTTAGCCAAGAATAGCCACATTGCAATATAACTGAATAATCACTTTCATTTCCTTGTTTTTGTGGCTTATGGGAGGATGAGGAACTCTTCAACTTTATTTTTCCAAGCCATTTTATACCATAAGAGATCTCCTGTGAGGAAGTCCAAGAACAGTGGCGAAGTGTTGGACATACAGGATATGATGTTTTATTTTATGTTGTTCCTTTCATTCCTTTCCTAATAATTTCACTAGTACTTCTTCAGCTAAGAATAACACTGAGGTTTTGAACTTCTTTTCTTTCTCGTGTTTGATGCTTTTGATGTTTTTTTTTTAGAATTTTGTTTGCATTTTTTCCCATAGGATAAAATTTACATGTATGGAGGAAAAATTGATTCAACAGGGAACGTGACCAATGAGTTGAGAGTGTTCCATATTCATAATGAGTCATGGGTGTTATTGACCCCGAAAGCCAAGGAGCAGTATGCAGTGGTCGGGCACTCGGCACACATCGTCAAATTGAAAACTGGCCGAGTGGTCATGCTGGTCATCTTTGGTCATTGCCCTCTCTATGGATATATAAGCAATGTACAGGAATATGACTTGGGTAGGTGTATTTTTTCCAGTGGATCTTTTTGGAATGTCAAATTAAAAATCTCTACCCTTATTATTATGATGGTTGAACAAGATTCCACCTAACTTTGACCCTAGTTCTTTATCTTGAAATGCAGTTAATGTGGCTGTGTTCCCAGTAAAATTCAGATTATTGCTGCTATTATGTCATCTGTGTTCCTTGCCATCAGTTTGGTGAGGAGCCAAAGATGACACTAAATGCTTTCGGTGTTGAAAATAAATAAATAAAAGTGGTTTGGAACAGCCAATATTCTGAAGAAAAAAAATTAGACGACCCTTTAGAGATTGGTTTAATGGACTGTGGTTTCCCCTTAATGTGTAATCTTTCTGTTGGTTAAATTTTATTATATCTGTTGTGGTGGTATGGGAGCACCACCTGTAATTGATAGTTTGGGAAAGTAGGTCCATAAAGCACATCTGCGTATTGGTCACTGAAGGTCGCAGGGTATTAAGTGTTCAATTGAGGGAAATCCGAGTCTTTTAAATTTAATGTAATTATTTTCCAACATGATATAGTAGAACATCAGAATATTTAACAGATTGATGTTTGGCCATCTGGCTTTGTTACAAGTTTTAGATGGCCTTCCTTTAAAAACAAAAAGATTAAAGAAGTGTATACATATCAAGCTTCCTGAAATCTCTTAAACTAGTTGGTCATTTTAAGTATTAGAGAGGAGGAGCCTGCAATGTTTGCCTTTAACTGTTTTCCTCTTCCAGCTAAGAACACGTGGAGTATATTACAAACGAATGGTGCCCTTGTCCAAGGGGGCTATGGTCATAGCAGTGTCTATGATCATAGGACCAAGGCCCTTTATGTTCATGGGGGCTACAAGGCTTTCAGTGCCAATAAGTACCGCCTCGCAGATGATCTCTACAGATACGATGTGGACACCCAGATGTGGTGGGTGCTTTTTCTTGAGCTTTTACTCTAAAGTGTGAATTCTAGCAATTGTTGGGAAAATATTGGGCTCTATTTTTGTTCTAGGCCTAGCAGATAATTCTCTTCAGCATTGTATATAGAGAAATTGGGAAAGAAGCAGAAGGTAATAATGTACCGAGTATTTATTTTATAGCATTATTCTATAATTTTATAGGAGATTGATTAGAAAACACTTGACTTTTTTGACTGTTCTTTCAATTTTCATATCCTCAATACCTCTATAAAATTTTTGCTCTTCAAAATCCTGAGGAATAGATTGTTTTGCAAAGCTGTAATGTATGCACATTGCTGTAATTAAGTAAAATATATCCATTTTTTAACCTTGATGACTAAAGTGTCATCCTTGGGCTTAGTTACTGGCATCATTGCATGAAATCATCAAATAGAGGGGTTTCAGGACCTGAGTTAGAACTCTCCTCCCTCTGTTATAAATTGAACTATATATGAAGTGTGCTAATTTTAATGTACAGCAAATTTGAGTTATAAAATAGTGTCATTATATAAAGCAGTGGTTTCTCTTCTTTCTTTTTGTATTTGAGACCAGCTATGGATACCCATTTACAGTCTATCGTTAAAATGTCTGTCATTTTTAGTGGCGGTGTGATTGCTGTCATGTGGGTGTACTGAGACTGAGCTGTTGGAATTTTTGGTTTCTAGTTGTTGTCTTATTATTAAGGCATTATATGTAAGCTTTCATTTGTATTTGATGTGATTTCTACCCAGAAACTGGAATTATAGGGTCATAAGGTAGGAACAGTTTTAAGACTCTTAATATGTTTTGTCAAAATTTTCATAGGCCTTTAAGATTACATATTTATTTATTGTTGACAAAGTAACGTATATAGGGGTAAATCTAGAAGTATTGGCACATTTGGATCTGAAGTTAAGAAAATGGTTGTGTTTGCATTAGCAAATAGATGATAAATATTCTAAAAAACTAACCTTGTATTTATTATTTTTAAATAAACTCAAAAGGACCATTCTTAAGGACAGCCGATTTTTCCGTTACTTACACACAGCTGTGATAGTGAGTGGAACCATGCTGGTGTTTGGAGGAAACACACACAACGACACATCCATGAGCCATGGTGCCAAATGCTTCTCTTCAGATTTTATGGCTTATGACATTGGTAAGTTTACCAAAGCCATTTTAGTTTCAAGGATCTTTTTTATCTATGAGCAGCATTTTCTTTTTTTTTAGAGACAGAGCAGTAGTGGGGGATGGAGGGGAGGAAAGAGTATCTTAAGCAGGCTCCACACCCAGCACAGAGCACAGTGCACAGCTTGATCTTATGACCCTGTGATCATGACCATTTTCAAAATCAAGAGTCGGGGGACGCCTGGGTGGCTCAGTTGGTTGGGCGGCTGCCTTCGGCTCAGGTCATGATCCCAGCGTCCTGGGATCGAGTCCCACATCGGGCTCCTTGCTCGGCGGGGAGCCTGCTTCTCCCTCTGCCTCTGCCTGCCTCTCAGCCTGCTTGTGATCTCTCTCTCTCTCTTTCTCTCTCTCTATGACAAATGAATAAAATCTTTAAAAAAAAAAAAAATCAAGAGTCGGATGCTTAACCATCTGCACCACCCAGGTGCCCCTGTAAGCAGCATTTTAACCACTGAGCCACCCAGGCGCCCCTGTAAGCAGCATTTTAAAAGAAACTGAAAATATCTCCAGTTAAAATTGGGCCGTTTGAAAGAGTCCAAATGGTATTTTTTGTATTCATGTGACAAATATTATACATGTATTTAAAAAAAGCATTACTTCTATATTAAGTTCTTCTTTATATTTCTTATTTAAGTTTTTAATATATTTTTCTATATTAAGTTCTATTATGTGAAACACTCCCATTAATTGATTGAATGTTAATTTTTGAAGGTGATTTGGGGTGACCAGCCTCTTCTATGTTACAAATGAATGCCTTATATAATAGTCTTATGTAGTTGTGACCACCAGCATTGCGTTAAGTTGGTCTAATAGCTTTATCACATTCCCTAAAAAATGGGTTTTACATACTCTTGAAGTCATACTTTGACATGGAATTTAAACGTTTTTTGGCGTGGTAGTATACTTGACCAGAAGAGGGCAGTATTTGTTCACGCAAAACAAATACTATCTGTTCTCTTGTTTAAGTATCATCAGATGTTCTTTTTTAACAGATGTTTATGTGCCCGCTACTGAGCTCGGGGACTGTAAGATGAGTAAATTACAGTGCTTGGCCTCACAGTGGGGGAGGCAGAAAACTGAGCAGACAATATAATTGCAATTCAGGGTGTTAACTTGCTTTGAGAGGAATATGTGAGAGCATCTCTGGGCATGCCCTAACACAGGAGGAAATGGGTTATGATCAGGGAAGGCCTTCTTAAGGAGGGTCTGGGTCCCGAGGAAGTCAGCTAAGTGAAGTTACGCAACAGCCCATGTACAGAGACACAGCGGCAAAAAGAGACTCTGCCACATACCTGCGGCCTCTGAGTATCAGAGTTTGGGCTGTATCAGCTGCACATCAGGGAGGAACGGCTTCCGGCAGAACTAGAGAAGCCAGCAGCTAGCAGATTAGTCAGATCTTGAGAGACTTGTTATGCCATGCTGAGGAATTTGGACTTTTTGAAGAATCTTACATAAGAGCTGATGGAATCGTATTTGTGTCTTAGGAAGATCTCTGTGGCATTGTGGTGAGTAGTTGGGAAGGGGCAGGAGAGGAGTTAGGAGGCTGTTGCAAAATCCTGAGGAGGGTTGGAGCCAAGGCTGTTGAAGTGGCAGTGAGGTTCAAGAGAGATGGGTTTGAGAACTGCTGGGAACTTGAGGATTGTTTGGGTGTGTTTTGAGAGAGGCAAACGTATCTTTATTGCCAGGTACCTGGTGTGGCCGTGATAGACGGTGCTTTTTACCAGGTCGGAAGCAGAAAGGAGAGGGGCTGGGTTGCGAGGAAGGGAATACAATGGGTTTGGGGGCATGTTCATCTGGAGATGACCGTGGGACCGACCCATACAGAGATTAGGCAGGGATGAGCCTCTAGGGAGCATGTGTCATCAGGGATGAGCAGAGAGTCAGAATGGATGGACGCCTGTTAAAGAAGCAGGAGGAACATGAGGCAAGATGGGTGACCTGTGAGGGAGCTGTTAACAGTGGCTACAGAGGACTTAAGGAAGACAAGGACTGGAGAGCCTTTTGGATTTCGCAACAAAAGATGTTGTTTGTTAGCTTCTAGACAGGGAGGAGTAATCCAGATTGCAGTCATGGAAGAGGTATACCATAAATGTTGACTAGAGTAAAAAAAGAAAAAGCCCCACTTCTCTGTAGGAAGAGAAGGTGTAGTTGAGTGCCTCCTTGGGCACATTTAAATGCTGTGGTAAAAGCCAGGTGAGACAGGAAGAAAGAGTCCCTGTCGCCATGTGGTTTTTGAGAAGCAAGGTGGGTAGGCAGGAAGCTTTGAGGGCTGATGGCCTCTTCTCTGTGTGAAGAAGACCGCCACAGAGTCTAGGCTGGGGAAAAGGATGCGAAAACTGTTGTTGGTAAGGTTGAATGAAGGTCTGGATCGAGTAGAAGAGCACTTGCTTAGTGAGCATGAAAATATGACTGTTTCAGAGAGGGAGTGTGAGTGAGGTTGGCAGGGTTCTGCCATGCCGGTTGGATGAAAAAAGGTCCAGAGAAGAATTGCTGTCATGGGTCAGGACAAAGGAAAATCAGTAGATGCTAGGGGTTCTAGGAAAGGACTTGAAGTTTGAATTTTTAATATATTTATCTATTTATTTAGTTTTCATTCTCCACGTGTATTTTCCTATTTTAGCTACTGAGTTTGGGCAAATCAATATGGAGTGGAAAATAATTATGGAGGGCACATGTTTTACTTACATAAATTTTGAAAAATACAAAATTTACCCAAGTTAGGAAGTGTTCTGGTGGGTAAACTTGATGGGCAACAGAGTGAGTGAGCATCATGGATGTTGGATGCATTCACGAATTAGAATTGCCGTATTATCCTACACCCTTCTTCCATGCCACGCTGTTCCGCCATTGCCCCATTTAACCTCAGCAATAATGACTTGATTAAGAAAAACCGAGAAATACATTTTATGAGGTTGTGGTTATTGCAGTCTTCTCCCAAAAGAAGATGCCAGTTCCTACTGATTGTGAAGAGCAGCTCCTTCTGAAATGTGTTTTTCTTACTCCTAGCTTGTGACCGCTGGTCAGTGCTTCCCAGACCTGATCTCCACCACGATGTCAACAGATTTGGCCATTCCGCAGTCTTACACAACAGGTAATTAACTGAAGAAGTGCTTGCTTCTCTTCTCTCGTGTGTAATGTGTATGTGTAGTGTAGCGATGGAAATGGAGTTGAACATGAGAAAGTGGAATCGGACTTACATATTATTTTCGGGATTCCCTCAGCCCATTAGTTTGTTGCAGAGCTACGTACGTCTGAATTTCCTGATTTATATTTAAAATGTCTGATGTGGATTTGAATTACTTCTGATGCCCAGTTTGTTAGCATGCAGGAGTATGCTCTGTTTGGTGCGGTCTGCATGCACGGGACAACAGGAGGTCTTGTGGTACGGTCTCACGCCCCCCGCTGTTCACTGTTGTTGTCGTGCTTGGGTTGTCAGGTTTCTCTTTGTCAGATCTGAGTGGGAAGGAGGGGTTAAAAAAAGAAGAGAGGGCATTTCAGATGGATAGGATAGAGGAACAGAGATGGGCAAGTTATGAAGCTTCCTGCAGATAAATATGCCATTTTTGATATTCTGAAGTCTGTACTACATTTTGTTGCATTGCTCAAAAATGCCTGGCCTGAGTTAACTAAATCTGTCCCCTGGAGAAGGGGAATCCAGAATGGCCACTCTGCCCGTTCCTCACAGTGTACCTTAAAGATCTGTCATCTGTTGGGGCACCTAGCCGGCTCAGTCGGTGGAGCATGTAAAAATTCTTGATCCCAGGGTTGTGATCTTGAGCCCTATACTGGGTGTAGAGGTTACTTAAAAGTAAAATCTTAAAAATAAAGGAAGAAAGAAAGAAAGATAGATTGGTGATTTGTTAAACAGCCTAGTCATATTCTTAATTTTTCCCATTTTGTTTCAGCTGTTGTGAGTGTTGTCTATTTCACCTTCTAAAATTCTGAGCCTTAACAATCCTGAAACTTCTGAAATGCGACAATGCCTACATTATGTTAGGACTCCCCCAGCTTTCAGAATTTCTGTTGTTATGATGCAAGATGAGATGGAGATGTGGGATTAGAAAAGCTGAGCCAGCAGCATGTCTTGACGATGTCATGAAGGAGGAATGGGCAAAATTCAGTTACTTAGATATTGGGAAAAGGTGACAACTTTTTAAAGGAATCACTCAGCTGCAATTTAGTGATAAACATGATTTTCCTGTGAGAACATGTGATAGTATAGACTGATACCCATATTGATCTTAAGTGTCACCTTAAATTGTGGGCTGATACTTCCTCAGTGAGGAAAACCCTGAGGTTTTCTAGTGAGTCCCTCTTGATGCTTTCATCTGAAAAGCAGTGGGACTGTTTTGTCATCCCCTTGCCAGTGGGTTCCTGGCCTCTGCTTCATTCATCTTTATGCCCCTGCTTCTCCCAGCACAGTATTTGGCAGATAATAGACATTCGCTAAATTGTAGCAGCTCCTAGTCTGGTGATAGTAACTAGCAGATAAATGGGTCTTCTATTAAAACATTCTAAGGTTCAGACTCAGAGAAGATGACACTTTACCAGACGACAGACTTGAGCCACGAATCAAAATTAGGAATGGCTTGCCTGACTTACCATGATGTTTTCATTTCTGTGTAATTCCAGTGGTGTGTTGGGGCCTATCTGTGAATCATCTGTGTGTATGGGGCAGGGCTGGAGGGGGCAGCAGATGGCGAGAGAGGCCTTGTCTAGTTTCATTTTGTGGAAGAATTTACTGAGAGAGAAACGTGGATATCATTTCTTCGTATCCCAAGGGGTGGTTTTTAGTCTGCCAGCAGCTTTGGGTCTGCTGCCCGTCACTTACCTGCTGTCCTCGTGGGTTTTGTAAGGGCGGTGGGCTGAGGAGCTGGCTGCGAGGCCCTGGGGCTGCGTAGAGGTGGCTGTTCCTTTCAGTTGCCTGCTCCAGGCCTTTTTGAAGGACTCTGCGTACCTCACATAGCCAATGTGTGACCAGATGGATTCAGAATTGCTGAAAACACCAGCTGTACTGGGAGGGGGTGGAGCTTCTTTGGTTTAAGCAGCAGATTGACTAGTTGAATCCAGACTGCTTAATGTGATACTAAACCCATCGTGAGATTAAAAATTAAACATCGGCTTCATTTTTGGTCATTGAAATGTGTCCATTTCTAGATATAGTATATAGCAGATACTTAGCCACAAAAATCTTTATGCTTTCATAAGTTAATCTTGTGTTAATTTGAAGGCAGTTGAGGCAAGTGAGAGTGAATGACTTGATGCCTCATTGTGGGTTTGTTCTAAACTTCCTGGCAGATCAGAGGATCTCAGAGTTGGAAGAGATCCTAAAGTCATCTGCTCAAAACTTCTACTTAATGCAGTCATCCCCTTTAAAAGGTCCAGGGATGGAAAACTCACCTAAGAAGGAAGCCCCTTCCTTTTCCAGAGACAACAGTGATTAGCAGGTTCTCCTTGATATGATCTGGAGTCCACTTCTCTGTCTCTTCTGCCCAGTGATCTTGTTTCTGTTCTTAGATTTTGCAAGAGATTATTATGGGAGGCAGAGGTGGAGAAAGAAGCAGGCTCCCTGCCGAGCAAGGAGCCTGATTCGGGACTCGATCCCAGGACCCTGGGATCATGACCTGAGCAGAAGGCAGTGACTTAACTGACTGAGCCACCCAGGTGTCCCAAGAGATGATTATGTTTAAGGATGGTGTTGTGTCTCCTGTCTGTATAGCGCCCAGCCTCTTTCTTCAGGTTCTAATCTGGCACAGTGGTTGGCAGGGTTGAGGATGTCCCAGCAAATGGCACACAAGAGGCATAGAGGTACCGTGTATGTGGCAGATAGATATGGCCCTGGGTACCCTGTGAGACAAACCCTATCATTTGCTGGCATTGGCCTCCCACCACAGCGGTTTTTTTTTGTTTTGTTTTAAAGATTTTTTAAATTTATTTCACACACAGAGAGAGATCACAAGTAGGCAGAGAGGCAGGCAGAGAGAGGGGGGGAAGCAGGCTCCCTGCTGAGCAGAGTTCCCGATGCAGGGCTCGATCCCAGGACCCTGAGATCATGACCTGAGCTGAAGGCTGAGGCTTTAACCCACTGAGCCACCCAGGCGCCCCCCCACCATAGTGTTTTAAGAACTTTCCCTGGGGGATGCCTGGGTGGCTCAGTCGGTTAGGCCGCTGCCTTCGGCTCAGGTCATGATTCCAGGATCCTGGGATCGAGTCCCGCATTGGGCTCCTTGCTCGGCAGGGAGCCTGCTTCTCTCTCCACCTGTGCCTGCTTGTGTGCTTGCATGAGCTCTCTCTCTCTCTCTCTCTCTGACAAATAAATAAATAATAAAAAAAAAATCTTAAAAAAAAAAATAAAGAACTTTCCCTGGAACTACTGCACAGCTGTTTTTGTTTTGAATGTGTGTGAGTCTACGTAGATGGCCTGTTAGCAGCTTTATTGGAGTTGATAAACACAACAAATTGAGTATACTTAAAGTGTATCCTTTGATAACTTTGACATAAGTGTACACTTGTGAAATAATCACCATAATCAAGATAACATATCTATCACCCACTAAATGTTCTTGTTCAGAATGCCCTATTTATATTCATGAGGGATAGTGCCTCATAGTTTTGTGATTTTTTTTTTAATGATATATTTGTCTGATTATACCGGACAGAATACATTGAGAAGTATTCTTTCCCCCTGTAGTTACTGGAAAGACCTATAAAGGATTGGTATTACACTTTAAATGTTTAATGTTTGGTAGAATTCATCTGGGCCTGGGCTTTTGTTTGTGGAAAGATTTTAAAATTGTGAATTCAGTCTTTACTTGAGATAGGTTTATCTGTTTGGATTTTCTGGCTAAGCAGTTTTTTTAGATTTTTAAAAAATTTTGATAAAATTTTCATTACATAATATTTACCATCTTAACTTTTTTTTTTTAAGATTTTATTTATTCATTTGACAGACAGAGATCACAAGAAGGCAGAGAGGCAGGCAGAGAGAGAAGGGGAGGCAGGCTCCCCGCTGAGTAGAGAGGCTGATGCGGGGCTCGATCCCAGGACTCTGGGATCATGACCTGAGCGGAAGGCAGAGGCTTAACCCACTGAGCCACCCAGGCGCCCCCATCTTAACTGTTTTTAAAGTGTGTGGACTAGTGGCACACATTGTGAGCAACCATCACTGCCATTCATCTCCCGAACATTTTTCATCACACAAACTGAAGCTCTCTACTCAGTGAACAACAGCTTCCCATTCTGCCCTGCCCCTGCCTTCGGCAACCAGCACACTAGCTTCTGTCTTTGTGAATCTGACTATCTCGGGTACCTTTACCTGGAATCATACAGTATTTGTCCTCTTGTGGCTAGCTTATTTCACTTAGCATAATAGCCTTAAGATTCATTCATCCATGTTTTAGCAGGTGTCAGAATTTCTTTCCTTTTTAAGGCTGAATAATACTCTCATATATGTATACCACATTTTGTTTATCCAGTCTTCTGTCGGTAGATACTTGGTTTGCTTCCACCTTTTGCCTTTTGCAACATAATGCTGCTATAAACATGGATGTACAAATATCTGAGTCCTAGCTTTCAGTTCTTTTAAGGGGTTATATACCTAGAAGTGGAATTTCTAGATCATATTGTAGTTCTATTTTTAAATTTTTTGAGAAACTAGATAGTTTTGATAATCAGTCTTGCCAGGAGTTTGTTTCATTTAAGTTGTTTAATTTGTTGGTATAAAAGTTCATAGTATTTCTTTATATGCTTTTTAATTTCTTGAAGGTCAATAATGTCCATTCTTCATTCCTGATTTTGTTAATTTATCTTCTGTCTTTGCTCTTGGTCAGTCTAGCTAAAGGGTTGTCAGTTTTATTGATCTTGTCAAAGAACAAATTTCTGTTTTCATTTTTCTCTATGTATTTTATTGTTTCTTCTTGATATCATTTTCTCCATTCTGATTGCTTTGGGTTTAGTTTGCTTTTCTTTACTAAAGGTGGAAGCTTTGGTTACTGATTTTAGATTCTTTTTTTTTTTCCTAATATATGTGCTTAAAGCTGTAAGTTTATCTCTAAGTACTACTTTAATCCCATCCCATAAATTTTGAAATGGCATATTTTTGTTTTCATTTAGTTAAAAATATTTTCTAAGTTCCCTTGTGATTTCTTCTTTGACCCATAGGTTATTCAGAATATTTTCTTTATTTTTCATATAATTGTGGAGTTCACAGATTTTTCTGCCTGTTTGTTTATGATTTAATTCCATTTTGGTGATCAGAGAACACACTTCGAAGATTTCCTTCCCTAAAAATACAAAAACAAAAAACACTTATTGCATTGTTGTTTTTGTTTGTTTGTTTGTAATGGCCTAGCACATATGGTCTCTCTGGGAGAATGTTCCATGTGCCCTTGAAAAGAATATGTGTGCTGCTTTATTTAAGTAGCGTGTTCTACAGATGCCAGCAGCTCATATTGGTTGATAATGTTGTTCAAGTTTTGTGTATCCTTGTTAATTTTATTCCTAGTTGTTCTCTCATTTTAAGAGTGAGATATTAAAGTCTTCAACTATAATTGTTACTTTACTATTTTTCATAAGACCTGACAGCAAAGAATTTTCTTAGTCTTTGTTTCTCTGGGGAGGTCTTTATTTTAGTTTCATTTTTGAAGGATAGTTTTGTTGGGTAGAGAATTCTTATTTGACTTTTTTTTTCTTTCCATTACTTCAGTATCTTCTTTCTCTGCCTTCTGGCCTCCATTGTGTCTTAGCCATTAATATTAATGTGATTCTCTTGTATGAGTTATCCTATGCAGTATTTTATTATAATGTGTGTAAACATGGATCTTTTTGTGATTGTTCTAGTTGGAGTTTGGTGAGCTTTATGGATGGGTGTGTAAAGTAATCATTTTCACCAAATTTGGGGAGTTTTCAGCTATTACTTCTTTAAGTGTGTTTTCTGCTCTCTCTCACTTCTTTCCTTCTGAGACTCCCATTATGTTTATGTTGGATACTTGACAGTGTCCTGCAAGTCTCTGAAGCATTTTCTCTTTTCATTTTCTTTGATATTTTTCATTTCTTTTCTTCAGATTATACAATTATTTTTTATTTATTTATTTTTAAGATTTTATTTATTTGACAGAAATCACAAGTAGGCAGAGAGGCAGGCAGAGAGAGAGGGGGAAGCAGGCTCCCTGCTGAGCAGAGAGCCCGATGCGGGGCTTGATTCCAGGACCCTGGGATCATGACCTGAGCTGAAGGCAGAGGCTTTAGCCCACTGAGCCACCCAGACACCCCTTTTTGTTTGTTTTTAAGATTTTATGTATTTACTTATTTGAGAGAGAGAGAGAGACAGAGCACAAGCCAGGGAACAGCAGAGGTAGTAGGAGAAGCAGGCTCCCCACTGAGCAGGTAGCCAGTGTGGGACTTGATTCCAGGACCCTGGGATCATGACCTGAGCTGAAAGCAGACACTTAACCCACTGAGCCATGCAGGTGACCCTGTATGTACTGTAACATTTTGTTGAAAACCAAACCTTTTAGGTAATATCAGGTGTGGATTCTGATTCTCCCACCGTTGCCACTGGGGGTTGTTGTTGCTGTTTGTTTAGTGTCTTGCCTTGACTAATTCTGTAGAGTCTGTCTCCCTAATGTACCACTGCTGACTTTTTCTCCCTAGTTGTTTTTTTGGTGTTTTTTTTTAAAAGATTTTATTTATTTATTTATTTGACACAGACACACACACACACACACACACACACACACAGCAAGAGAGGGAACAAGCAGGGGGAGAGGGAGAGGGAGATGCAGGTTCCTGCAAAGCAGGTAGCCCAATGTGGGGCTTGATCCCAGGACGGTGGGATCATGACCTGAGCCGAAGGCAGACACTTAACGACTAAGCCACCCAGGTGCCCCTGTTTTTTCTTGTTTTTATTTTTAAATCTGACTTCCTAGAGGTTGCCTTTAAAGAGTCCTATGTGGGGGCACCTGGGTGGCTCAGTTGGTTAGGCAGCTGCCTTCAGCTCAGGTCATGATTCTGGAGTCCCGGGATTGAGTCCCACATCAGATTCCCTGCTCAGCAGGGAGTCTGCTTCTCCCACTGACCTCTCTCCTCTCATGCTCTCTCTCATGCTCTCTCTCTCTCTCAAATAATTAAAAAAAAAAAGAGTCCTATGTGGTTTTTTTCTGAGGGTTAGGGGAAAGAATGGTTTTTAGATATCGCAATCTATGTACTAGTCATATTTACTGCTACTAGATTGGTCATTGTTTCTAGCCCTTTTAAGAAGAGAAGTTAAAGAGAAACTTTTTTGTTTTCTTGTTTTTATATTTGTAATTTTTAAAGATTTATTTATTTGAGGGGGGAGGAAGGACAGAGGGAGTGGGTGAAAGAGTCCCCAACCAGACACCATGCTAAGTGCAGAGCCCGACGTGGAGCTTGATCTCACAACTCTGAGATCATGACCTGGGCCGAAACCAAGAGTTGGATGCTTAACCGACTGTACCACCCAGGCACCCTGTTGTTACGGTTTTTAAAATGAAAAATGATATTGTGTGTGTGTGTGTGTGTGTGTTTTCCTTCTTCCCTCACTAGATAAATGGTTGCATCCAATATATACTTTTCTCTGCAATTCATTTTTTTCCCACACCACATAGCAGAATGTAGAAATTGTCCTCATTCCTTTTTACATCTGCCAACTGCTATGTTCATTGTGTGGCTGTACCATAGTTTACTCACATCACATCCTGAATTGATGGACCTTTGGGGACATTTCATCTGAAGATTATAAAAAGCATACGTGCATTTGTATATAGAAACCTTCAGTAAACTACTCTCCTTTTTTTTCCCCCCCTTTTAGCACCATGTATGTATTTGGTGGTTTCAATAGTCTCCTCCTCAGTGACATCCTCGTATTTACCTCAGAACAGTGTGGAGCACACAGGAGTGAAGCTGCTTGTCTGGCAGCAGAACCTGGCATCCGGTGTGTGTGGGATACGGGGTCATCTCAGTGTATCTCCTGGGAATTGGCCACTGAAGCACAAGAAGAAAAGTTAAAATCAGAATGTTTTTCCAAAAGAAGTATGTTTTTTTTCCTTTTCTTAAAATTTAATTAATTTGAAATATCATTTTATCTGAATTATGAAGGTATCTAGCACATGTGCATTTTTAATGTTCATTTTATTATCTAAAATGGTTTGGTAATAACTGGTGCACAGGCTTTATGGGTGTTTGAAAATAGTTTTGTAAACCTCTTTACAGTGGATGGGAACATGCCATGTGGCTCCGAGAAGCTGTCTGTGAATGATGGAAATAAAACCTCCTTAGCATTGCATAGAGTTTGTATACCAGCTCCTAAGCCTGGCAGTTGGTCTTGGCGATACAATACAATAGGACCTTTTTGTGATAATGGAAATGTACTATTGTGTGTTGTCCCAGTGTGGGAGCTACTAGCCAGAGACACTTGAAATGAGACTGGTGTGACTGATGCATTTTAAACTTTCATTAATTTAAATTAAGAATTACATGAGACTGGTGGTGACCTTACTGGATTCTGCAGTTCTAACACTAAGGGTGAGATTAAGAGGGCCAACCTGGAAAAGCTATGTTGGAGTAGATAAAGAATAGAGGTAGAGTTGCTGTCTTTGCAAAGTATTCTTTTCTAGCTTCTCTAGTTGGGCACAGCAGTGATAGCAAGACAGAGAGTTGCTGAGTGTGACCAGTGGTACTGGCTTCTAGAACCACCCCTTCCTTATGTTTTCTAAGCTTTCTTCATCTTGCCTACTTAGCTGCTTATGTTTTTGCTGTGACATGTAGCACAGTGTAATGCAGTGATGTAAGAACTAAGAAATCCTTTTTTTAAAAACGTCTCTGCAAAATATTTGTTCACTTCAATTATTTTAAAGAATGTTGGCTGAATTTCTTAACTGTTAAGAGTTGTATGTAGCAAGTTACCTTGAGGGTTATGGTAGATAAAGTCAGCTTTCACTCTGCTGGAATGCTCCAAAGTAAGATGATCATAGATCCCCAAAGGGGCATCCAGACAACTTTCCAATGAGTGGTGGAGAACTGAGGGGACCAGAACCTGGTAGGGATAGACAGTATCTACACTGTCTCTTCAAATGAATAAAATTCATGAAATTTTTTTTTTCTTCGTAAACCAAATTTTAAAAGTTCAAATTAAATGTGCAAGAGTATAGGAAGCAATGTTTGATTACCGTAGGTGGTTCGATATAAACCTCTTTGCTATGAACTCATCTCAGATGTTGAATCTCTGGTCACTCTGCTTTCTCTGTGGGCCCAGTCCTTGTGGTGGTGACAGGAGAGGTAGAGTAATCTAAGGAGCATGCTTTGTGTGTGTGGCGGAGTGGGGGGCTGGCTGTCTTGTCCATGGGTTCTGCCATGTGCCATGTCCGTAAGTGGATCAGTAGATCAAGCAGCATGGTTGTGCAGCCTCTTTCTTTTTGCTGACCTTGACCTATCTAGGGTCAGTAGGAGACATAAAAGGTCTGTAGTAGCCCAGAAGTTCTCACATTTGCACTCTTAGACTTACATACATGTATAAATTGTAGCTCAGCTTAGTGTCTCTTTTGGGGTTCTGTGGTGCTGCCTCCTTCCTCTGTCCAGATTAGCTTTGCATTTGTAGCTAGAGCAGTGGCTTGGTCTTCTGCATTACTTTGTTTGCCTCTTGGGCACTCTTGGTGTTCATTATATCACTAATTGCTTTCTTTCCTTGGAAAGAGAAGTATTCAAAGTACCAGACCTACTTCCCTTATATCTCATTGTTGTTGAATTAAATTAACCTATCTTTGTTTTTCCCTCTAGTGTACTCTTGGTGGGGGCATGGAAGTTTACAAAATACTCTTCTCTCTCTCTCTCTTTTTTTTTTTTTTAATTTTTACTTATTTATCTGACAGCGAGAGGGAACACGAGCTGGGAGAGTGGGAGAGGGAGAAGCAAACTTCCTGTTGAGTCTGGGAGCCCAAAGCAGGGCTCGATCCCAGGACCTTGAGATCATGACCTGAGCCAAAGGCAGATGTTTAATGGCTGAGCCACCCAGGCTTCTCACAAAATAGTGTTTTTTCAAATTGTTTATTTATTTCCAAATACTATTTTAACCTGAACACACCGATATATTTTCCTGCCAGTTTTTCTTCTTCTTTAACTTCCTAACCCTTGTTACATTGTTTTTTTTCAAACCTTAGTCTCAGGTTGTGCTCAATAGCGGCTATTGGCCTGTGACTTTTGTAAGGCGAAACTGTCACAGTTGATGAGTTCTTCTTCTTTTCGTAGCTCTTGACCACGACAGATGTGACCAGCACACGGATTGTTACAGCTGCACAGCCAACACCAATGACTGTCACTGGTGCAGTGACCATTGTGTCCCCGTGAACCACAGCTGCACGGAAGGCCAGGTCAGGGGCCGCTTCTCAAGGGTTTCAGGGGATGAAGAAACCCCAGGGCGGGTTACGGGTGAGATTATGGTGTGTTTCACACAAATACCGGCCCAGAGGTATTTTTCAAAACCTCCAGTGTAGTTTCAGGCTTTCTTTTAGGAAGGGATGCTATATACATCCTAATTTCGAAGGTCTTGCTAGCCACAGGATTGGTGTGTCATGTCTTAGAAGAAGGTAGGACTGTTATTCTGTGTACTCCCCACTCTCTAGGCATGGCTCTAGCTAGGTCCTCGATTCTTGGTGAGAGGCTTGTCATGGTGAGCTCACTCTACTTGTGCAAGCTTTGGGGAGCAAGTTAGGACTTGAGACTGAAGGTGAGTCAGGCAACTTAACGAAATCTCCTTGTCTTATGTTATATCATGGCTCAGTGTAATTTATGCTCACCATTTATGATTTTTTTACTTGGGTGATAGGACAGAAAAAGATACAGTGACTCCGCCTCTGTAGTTTTTGACAGTTTATTCTGTAAAGCAGTTCATAAAGTATGAGAGTTTTAGACTGTTCAGGAGGCATTTGAAAAGCGGCAGGTTGAACACCCCCATTTCACAGCTGAGCAGGTGAAAGCATGGTGTTTAAAAGAGCGCCTTGCCTCCTGGCTGGGTCAGGACATGTCCTGTGCGAAAGATTTCAGCACACTCTTTCCACCAGAGGGCTGCCTCACCTGCATCTTATGTCTTTATTTGCAGTTTGCTTCCTCAATTAGATTTTGTTGATTTTAGTATCCTGTCCTTACCATGAGTTCTGTCCGTGGATTAAGAGAAAAGCTTTTGTCTGCTGTGTTCTAGATCTCCATTTCCAGATACGAGAATTGTCCCAAGGATAACCCCATGTACTACTGTAACAAGAAGACCAGCTGTAGGAGCTGTGCCCTGGACCAGAACTGCCAGTGGGAGCCCCGCAATCAGGAGTGCATCGCCCTGCCTGGTAGGCCTCGTAGGGGCATCTGGGTGTGTGTGGGTCCAGAGACTTCACACACAAACACACCCCACCCCCAATACTGTGCAGCCTAGACTGCACCCAAGAGAGGGAACAGATAGAACTTTTTATCCATTCATTCCCCCATTCCACTATTGTGGTTATTTTTTTAAAATGAAAGTACAATTCTTAAGCATTTGCTGCTCCTGTCCTTTGAAATAAAGTAAAGCATTATCTGCTGCTCTGGAGAATGGAATGACAGCTTGGCTCCATGTCATTGAGCCTGCTCCATTGTCCCCACTCACCTCTGCTCTAGTCACCTAGCAATCGAAAGCAGCAGTCTTGGCAGCCGGTCTGTGGGCCACTTGGTGAAGGACACTTCTTGCCACTGGGATCAGGCTGTCAGCACCTTCTGACAAGAAGGAGGGGAGATGGTTTTCTCACCAGCAACCCCCTGAGGTGCTCTCCAGTCCTAACACCTCAATTTACGGCAGCTGAGATTGAGGACGAAGAGTTGAGGACCTCAGGCCAGCCAGCCACAGCAGAAGTTCTGTGATATATTTGCTCACCCGGGATTTCCAAGAAGGGGGACATCGATGGTTCTGCACAGCTTCCGAAGCACGCACACGGCAGCAGGGTCTGCCAGGCCCCTTCTCAGGGTCCTTTGAGAGTACTGGATTCGCTTGCACGAGTGTGAGCTGCGTGTTCTTTACCTCATTGTAGTAGACTTCAGTGTACTACAGAGTACCAGAGGGTCTTGTCAGGACTCAGGTTCTGGTGCACATTGGGGGTGGGGCCCCAGAATCTGCATTTTAATGAGTAGTGGCACTGATGCAACACTTGAAAGAGCACACCTTGTTTGCTCTTAAATGACCCCTTTTCTGGGGCATGTTCCGCTTGCCTCAATGACCAGTCACAGGCATCATTGGTGGTATGTCCAGGTTACTCAGTTCTGGCAAAGTTGCCTTGCTTGTTCCCTGTCTTCCAGGAAGCATAGAGAACTTCTGTGCAGCTCGGGACACAGTACTGAGCTGGGTGGGTGCAGGGTGAACACAGGAGCAGATTACAGTCTTACCCTGTTTGCTGCACCTGTATCACTTAGGGTTTTTTGTTTTTTGTCTTTTTTTCTAAAAAGGATCTTTCCAGAAACCTCACTTTCAGGAAGTTTTGTACCCTTGATTTTACCTTCCACTTGATGTGAAACAATGCACCTTTGAAGACCATCGTCTTGTTCACTCACCGACTCATTTCCATCCTCTAGTTTTCTTCCCCACCCTTCCAATCTGCATATTCATTTCTCTGTTCTTAGGATTTTGGTCTTGTTTCTAATTGTTCTTCAAAAGGGGGCTTAAAAATCTAGCACTGGCACCTAAGATTTTTTTTCCTCCAAGATATAGAGCAATTGACCTTAGAATATTGAGATCCAGGAAGCGGGACTGGTGAAGTCTAACATTATTGTATTCTGCATCGGTCCTTAGTTATGTGTTGGATGCCCTCACCACATCCTGGTGAGGTACTGCTGAATTCAAATCACTGAAACCTTTTAGGTTTCTGGTCATTTGAACTGGTAATGTGGTAGTTTTGTGTGATTTCTAAAACTCTATTTTTTTTCCCTCCTCCCTTCACAAAAGAAAATATCTGTGGCATTGGCTGGCATTTGGTTGGAAACTCGTGTTTGAAAATTACTACTGCCAAGGAGAATTATGACAATGCTAAATTGTCCTGTAGGAACCACAATGCCTTTTTGGCTTCTCTTACAACCCAGAAGAAGGTAGAATTCGTCCTTAAACAGCTGCGGATAATGCAGTCATCACAGAGCATGGTGAGTTCACATCCTCAAAACCGAAGCTTCTGGTACCCACACTTGTACTGAACGCACCCAAGCAGCTTCCCTGTGGTGGTATGCCCGGCCGGCGGAGTACCTAGTGCATGAGTGTAGTTGAGGGATTAAGAAGACAGTCTGTCCTAATCTGCTGTGGTTGAATTGGATGGGGAGGTTTTCCTTTATCTGTTGGGGTATATGTAACTTGGTGGTTTTTACCTAGAAGGTTTTTTTGGTCAAGACAATGCTTGTATTCAAAGCTACATCTCTTCTGCCTGTAGTCCAAGCTCACGTTAACCCCATGGGTTGGCCTTCGGAAGATCAACGTGTCCTACTGGTGCTGGGAAGATATGTCCCCATTCACAAATACTTTGCTACAGTGGATGCCATCTGAGCCCAGTGATGCTGGATTCTGTGGGATCTTGTCAGAGCCCAGTACTCGGGGCTTGAAGGCTGCAACCTGCATCAACCCACTCAATGGCAGTGTCTGTGAGAGGCCTGGTGAGTCTGTGGGTGAATGACGTGTCAGTGGAAGTTCACTGAGAGACCGTAGGAGGCGTGTGCGATATTCAGAGATGTGAGATAGTCACGAAAAACAGATGGAATATTGATTCCAAGCATATGAAGCGGAGTATAGCGCAGAACTTAGAAGTGGAAGGAAACAGTCTCTGGCTGTGAATAGTATGAGCCAGAAGCATAAACAAAAATAACTAACACTACTCTAAGAACCTAACATTCTAATTAACGTGAGATTGATGGGTTTGCTGACCAAACGAAGTACTGAGAATTGCTCTGAAAGGCAAATGTCTTAAGGTTGGTAGAGAAACGCTGTGGAAGCAAGAGCAAAAAATGCAAAGAAAAGGTCAGAAAAGCAAGCAGGTCACTGCAAGGGACAGTAGACAGAAAGCATCAATGGGGAGAAAAATGGGGAGAGCAGTCATAGGACAGAAAGCAGAAGCTGTCCTGAACGGCGCTAGCGCTGTGGGAGGGTCTGAGGGCAGGCGCTGAGTTGCTTCTCAGGTTCACAGCTCCCCTGTGGGCTGCCTTCAGGCCTCCCGTGGGCAGGCACAGGCAGCATCTGCAGCACGCAGACAAGCCGAGACAAGCATCACAGCCTACAGAGGGACTCACTTGCAGTAGGCGGAATTTTGTGCGCACTTCTTGGGAGACTGGACGCCATTGACATCGTGTCTCATTTTAGGAAGGTATTCCAAGTCGTCTGAGGAGTACAAGGGTGGAGAAAAGAATTTATAGCCCTGAAAGAGTCCTCTTAAAATACGGTTTCTAAGCTTCCTGTAGGGGAGCATTTCAGCCATTTTGGGTCCTGAATGCTTTGGTGCATTTAATGCATGCTGTGGTCCCTCTTGTGCCCAGATATACAAAGATACAAGTTTTCATGTTCAGGTGGGTCGTAAAACCCCTAAAGGTCATCTTGAGTCCCATATACTGCAAGGAGCTTTAGAACTGCTATGCTTCTGGAAAGATTCGCTTGTTCCCTCATGTCTGTCCATAATGCTCTTTGAAAAGAAAGAGAAAGGGTTTTTTCTCCTATGTGGATATACTTGACCAGCCCAGTACCTGGTTTTCGGTTTTCTCCTACATTAACTGTAGCCCCCTGATTTGATTTCATGACCTGCTACTGGGTCACAACCCATCCCAAAAAGCCTTTGACCTTGGCCAGCGTAGCAGGAGCACTAAGTGTCTGTGTTGGATTTGCTTCCCAGCAAACCACAGCGCCAAGCAGTGCCGGACGCCGTGTGCCCTGCGGACGGCGTGCGGGGAATGCACCAGCGGCAGCTCCGAGTGCATGTGGTGCAGCAACATGAAGCAGTGCGTGGACTCCAACGCCTACGTGGCCTCCTTCCCTTTCGGCCAGTGTATGGAGTGGTACACCATGAGCAGCTGCCCCCGTAAGTGGAAGCGTGCAGCTCCTGCTTGGGGGTCGTGCCGTCAATCTCTCAACCTTTTAGGGACAAGACCGGAGACTGCCTGAGGAGAGGAGAACCTTTGCACACAGTCCAGCAGTGGTGGGGCAGATGGCCCTCCCCACCCCCCGTTGGTTAAGCGTCCGGCTCTTGATTTCAGATGAGGGCATGATTTCGGGGTCGTGAGATGGCGCCCCATGTCGGCCTCCATGATCAGTAGGGAGCCTGCTTGAGATTCTCTCCCTCTGCCCCTCCCCCAACTCGTTCTCTCTTTCTTTCTCTCTGTCTCAAATAAATAAATCTTTAAAAAGAAGAAGAAGAAGAAGAAGAAGAAGAAGAAGAAGATTCAAGCCCTGTGGGACAGGGCATGGAGTACAGAAACAGCTTGCCCAGCTTCAGCATCGAATTGCTGAAGTCACATAACGTCTCCACATCTTCCTCTCCTGATTCGTGAAATAAATGCTTTCTGGTAGATGACCGCTAAGGTCCCTTCTGCCTCCACATCTTGGGATTGACAGGAGGGGAGGAGCCCCTGTTCTATGTTAGGCAAGCTATTGGGCTCTTTAAATTTTTTGTGTCATTTAAGAAATCCCCTTAGAATGGGAATTTTTGACAGAATAGTCTGTTTAAATAAAAGGTAATTTAGGGGTGCCTGGGTGTCCCAGTCAGAAGAACATGCATCTCTTGATCTCAAGATTGTGAGCTCAAGCCCCACGTTGGGTGTAGAGAGTACTTAAATAAATAAATTAATTAATTTTAAAAAGCTTTTTAAAAAGGTAATTTAGATATAATGAATTCAAAGCGGCGTGCTGTAGTGGACTGTAACTTGTGTTCTTTTACAGCTGAAAATTGTTCAGGCTATTGTACCTGCAGCCATTGCCTGGAGCAGCCAGGCTGCGGCTGGTGCACTGATCCCAGCAACACTGGCAAAGGCAAATGCATAGAGGGCTCCTATAAAGGACCAGTGAAGATGCCTTCTCAGGCCCCTGCCGGGAATTCTTACCCACAGCCCCTTCTGAATGCCAGCATGTGCCTGGAGGACAGCAGATACAACTGGTCTTTCATTCATTGTCCAGGTAAGATGCCTTGTGTATCCAAAATCAAGTGTTCTGCTACTTATTTACAAAGACTAAAACTTTGAAAGCTACGTTATTTATATGAATTTTCTTTAGGGAAAAAAAAATGTAACAGACTATTTTAGAAGAAATAATTTTGCATGAAAAATATACACGTATTTTTTTCATGAAAAATATTTTTAATGTCAGTTCATGAAAACACAGAAGTTCAAGTGAGTTGTTTTGCTTTCACTGTGAAAGTATTGAAGTATGTTCGTTATGAACAAATATTGCAGATGTAGATAAAATAAAAACTGGAATTCTTCTCTAGTTCTTCAGAGAAGTAAAAACTTCTAATGGTTTAATATAGACACTGTCTATTTTAAAAATAGAAAGTACTGTGGTGTATAGGATTAATATATATTGTTCTGTAGTTTGCTTTTTACTGAAAAATACATTATGGCAGCCGTTAGGGGAAAATGAAAAACAAAACTACCAACCCAGACGTTCCTCTCCACAAATGTAGAAAAAAAGGAAAACAGTTTTATTTTGAATAAGCATCAAACCAGACTGTTGTACACCCTACAGGCAACCCACTAATGAGACTGCAAAAACAGAGAGAAATCTCACCCTTTTAAATCCATTACATAAATGTTTTGAAGATGAATGATAACTTGTCCTCATATGAGAGGTTTTGACAGCACCGTTTGCTGTACTGTCGTTCATAGTTTATCCTGAATTTACTTGGTAATTGGGGTAGCCACCTGTGTTAGTTAATTGTCTTTATCAAAAAAAAAAAAAAAAAAAATCCTGTATCTTTATGGCAAGCAGGTGGTTACACTTTGGCACAAAGGCACCCAGACTGAATTCCCAAAGTGACAGGGATATAGAGTGCTGCCTTCCTTGATGTTTACATTTCAAAGTGATGGCTCCCAGGCCCTTAAGGAAAACATTCCTGGACGGTTGTGCTGACAAGAGGTTTATTGAGGCATTTTTAAAAAAGATTTACATAATATACATATCAAAGACACAGACAGGATTTGTAAATACAGGTTTTTCTTGAAAAACTCTAAGAATAGGGAGAGGGGAAAAGGTCCCTCTCCCTTTTGGCAAGAGGAAAATTAAGCCTGTCTGCCTCCTCTCCCTCCTTCCCTCGTCCTACTTTCCCTCTGCTCCCTCCTTCTTTCTTCCAGTGGTTGGTGCCAGAAGGAGTAGACCGTGAGTTGGCCTAAAGCCTGACTCTATCCCTGTTGGGGATGCTGCCCTGAGAGATTGGCCATTGATTGAGACTTTCAGTAAATAACTCAGGAATATGCTGAAGGGTCTGCAGAATACCAGGGAGACGGGGGGTTAGACAAGTGCAAAGACCCGCAGGAGGTTAGTGGGTAGGAAGATCTCCAGGAGTCTGACAGTGCCACCGACAATAAGGCTCTTTATGAGGACTTCTGTAAGGGAAAGACCACGGGGAACAATGGTAAAAGGCAAGAGACAGGCTGGGGGAACATATCTGCAGTGTGTATAATAAGTGATTATCATCCTGAGTATGCAAACCTCTGCCCCCAGAAGAAAGCGCTGTCAGCTCAGTAGAAAAAGTGGGCAAAGGATATAAAAAAATCTTTCTCAGAAAAGGAAGCAGAGCAGGGAAATGTAAAATAAGAAACTGGTCTTTTCCCTCCAAACAATTAAGTTTTCTGTGTTCTCTTTTTTCCTCTCTAAGATGTCAAAGGATCTATCATTCTGTTTCTAATCTACTAGTTTAACTCACGAAGTATTTAAGTCTGTGCATTTTTATTAATATCAAGACTATATGAGGTGAAATGGCAACCCACAGAGTGGGAGAAAATATTTGCAAATCATATTCAGTATCTGGTAAGAGTCTAATGTCTAGAATATGTAAAGAACTCTTAAAACTCAACAGTAAAAAGACAACCCAATTAAGAAGTGGGTAAAAGACTGAAATAGACATTTCTCCAAAGAAGATACACAAGTGGCCAATAAGCACAAGAAAAGATGCTCAACAACATTCGAGAAATTGGAACCCTCACACATGGCTGGAAGGAGAGTAAGCTGGTGTGGCCACTTTGGAAAACAGTTTGGCAGTTTCTCAAAAAGTTAAACATAGAGTTCTCATATGGCCCAGTATATGCCCAGGAGAATTGAAAACATATGTCCACGCAGAAACTTGCAGTGAATGCTTATAGAAGCATTATTCATAATAGACAAAAATGGAAACAACCCAGTGCCTGTCAAGTGGCGAATGGATAAACATGATGTGATACGTTCATATGATGGACACTGCTAAGAGATAAAAGGGGTGAATGGAGTAGTGTAGTCTGCGACACCGATGAGCCTCAGAAGCCTGCTATGTAAAGGCAGGCCCATGCAAAGACTGCATGGTGTATGATACCATTTATGTGAGACGTCCGAAAAAGAGCAAACACACAAAAAGAACAAACACATGGAGACAAAAAAGAGCTCAGCGATCACCTAGGCCGGAGGTAGACATGAGCAGTAATGGGCACAGGGTTTTCTGAAGTAGCAGTGCCGTATCTCACCCTCCCTGGCCAGCCTGAAAAGATTGAGACTTCTCCACATGCTCATCAGTACTTGTATCTGTTATTTTTTTGATTTGGGGGACTTTGTTTTTGTTTTTGTTTTTTGATAGATGTTGTAGTATGTGAGAAGTGGTATCTCTGGTTTTGATTTGCATTTCTTTAATGACTGATGAAGTCGAGCATCTGAAGGCCATCTGTGTCTTCTCTGGAGAAATGTCTATTTGAATTCTTTGCCCATTTTTTTTTTTTAAAGATTTTACTTATGTATTTGACAGAGAGAGAGAGAGATCACAAGCAGGCAGAGAGACAGGGAGAGGGGGAAGCAGGCTCCCTGCTGAGCAGAGAGCCCAATGGGGGGCTCCATCCCGGGACCCTGGGATCATGACCCAAGCCGAAGGCAGAGGCTTAACCCACTGAGCCACCCAGGCTCCCCTCTTTGCCCATTTTTAAATTGTGTATTTGTCTGTTAATTATTGACTCATAGAATTCTTTTTTTTAAACAATTTTTAAAAAGATTTTATTTATTTATTTGACAGACAGCAATCATAAGTAGGCAGAGAGGCAGGCAGAGGTAGGTGGGGGGATGAGGAAGCAGGCTCCCCACTGAGCAGAGAGTCAGATGCTGGGCTCAATCCCATGACCCTGGGATCATGACCCAAGCTGAAGGCAGAGGCCTTAACCCACTGAGCCAGCCACCCAGGTGCCCGGACTCAGAGAATTCTTTATGAAGTCTAGATACAAGTTCTTATTGACTATATGATTTCCAAATATTTTTTCCCATTCTGAGGGTTTCTTTTTACTTTTTTGGTTGTATCTTTTGAAATATAAAAGTTCTAAATTTTCTAAATCCGGGGCATTGGTGTTTTCTTTTATCCCATGTGTTTTTAGTATTGTATCTAAGAAATCAGTGCGTAGCTAACTCAAGATCACAAAGATTTACTCCTATCTCTTCTTTTTAGAGTTTCATAGATATTTCTCTTATATTTATGTCCATCAGCCCTTTGGGGTTTATTTTTGTATGGGGTGGGAGGTTGAACAGACACGTAACTGGTCAGGAGGCACTTCCTGCTGTCTGCCACTCTCCCGAGGCCTGCTCTCTCTTCCAGCCCCAACTGGATTTTTCAGGTGTCCATTGGTAACGAGCATCTAGTCACTTTAGCTGTCCCCTCCTGCACTAGAAGACAGATGTCTCAACTCCCTTTTCTATCAGATTGATACCATCTGTTTTATAATTTCTAGAAATTGCTCAGTAATTCAGAAGTATTTCTCAATACATCTGATAGCACCTTTTCCTCTTATCCCATATTGCTATGGGTTTATCCTTGTTTTTACTTTTTTTTTTTTTTTTTTCAGTAATTTCAGTGGGATTTTGAAGGGGTAAAGAGGGAGAAGCATATTCCTAGTCTTTTTATCTAGGATACGGATTTTTTGGTAAATAATTTTAGGTGTTGCATTTTTGTGTGTGTGTGCTGTGCTTTGCCTTTTTGATATATATAGTTATTCATCTTCACAGGAACTATGTGCATATTCCACTTTTTTGGTGCAATAATAACTGCTATGTAGAATTACAGTCTACATAGAACAAGTCAAAAGGTTAGTCAGTGCTAATGCTATGGGTACATTATGCTCCTCACACAATGTTACGTGTCAGTAGTATCTCAGTAAAGCTGGGGGACAAAGATGTACAGAGTCAGATCTTCTGCCTGCAGTGTAGATTGTGCACTCTGGTCCTACTGGAGTCCACAGTGCACAGCCTAACCAGCTGTCCTGAGCAGTCCTGAGAGGTCCACCTTTCATATGCCTTTCTGGTTGTAAGGTCCTCTGTGCATTAAGAATCTTACTAATTCCACTTGTGGGAATGTTTTTATATATAAAGATGGTAATTTTTCTAAAAAAGAAAAATTGAAGGCAAACTAAATATCAGAATGTAAGGGAACGGTTAAGTAGCTGTTAGGATTCATAGACATCATTCTGCCACGTAAGGTTTTATTTATGATAGATGAAATAACGTGGCAAAGTAATTGTGCTGTAAGTAAAAAAAAAATCAAAGTTGAGTATTAATATAAGCACAACTGTGTAAAACTATATAGAAAAAATAAATTTCTTGAACTAAAAATCCCAAATATGCGCAGTGATCTCTGTATGGTGCATTGAAAATGATTTTCCCCTCTTCCTTATATTTTTTAAATTTACTATCATGAACATGCATTATTTTTATGAACAACAACAATTTTTTTTTTTAAGGGCTATAGATTTTCACCCTGTTGTGGTATATTTCTGATTTTCCTGGACTAGTCCTGTATGGATGTTTTTATCTTATTTTTCCGACTTGTTTTTAGTGGGCCAGTTTTAATGATTTTATCCTTAGAGGTAATAAAGAACTTAAATAGATAGTTGCAAATAAATCTCATGGAATTTACTCCACTCTGTTCTACCACGGGACAGTCCCCTTAAAATGCCTTTTTTTTTTTTTTAATGCTTTCTTTTCCAGCATGCCAGTGCAATGGCCACAGCAAGTGCGTTAATCAGAGTATATGTGAGAAGTGTGAGAACCTGACCACAGGCAAGCACTGCGAGACCTGCATATCTGGCTTCTATGGTGATCCCACCAACGGGGGAAGGTGTCAGCGTAAGTAAATCCCTCAGGGTTACTGACTGCAGACCAGCTGGAACGCAGTGCCTCTGTTTGACTTGAATATCTAGGAGGACAGAAGCCACTTGGTTTTGGATACTGCCTTTGTTGTCATGCTTGTCAGGAGCTCAGCTAAGCCTGTGAGAGAGTGAGCAGAGCTGCCAAGTATCAGAGTAGCCAGTTAACGTCAACAAGCTGAAAATGGAAGAGTTAAGCCTTTAATCGCTTACTGTGGTGGTAAAGCAAGAGGCTTAAGCTTAAACCCAGGAAAACTCTGAGTCCCCACATTTCCTTTCCCTCCAGGACTGGATGTTGGTTGAGCATCAGGTGGATCAGCACAGAGGTGGGGAGAGCCCAGGACAGAAGCCAGCAAAAACCTGTCATGGGCCCTGGAGAGGGGAGGGAGAGGGAGGGTGCTGGGGACTGAGAGTGGGGATGATGTCTTCAGGGCTCCCCCATCCCTCCCCCCATCGTGAGGAGGCTCAGCAAGGCTCCCAAAGAGGGTCTGCCCCAGGCCCAGATAAAGAGACTCAGGAGCAAAGATACCTACGCTAGGAATGCAAATATGTGATGGAACATGGCTGACTTGGGGAGTGGGTTGCCCTGGGACTGTGACTGCAGTTTTCCCTCAGAGACCGCCCTCAGGAACAGGAGATCTGCTGGCTAAGCCTGGGTTTTGGCTTGTGGTAGGATCCAAAAAACCATACATGGGGTTTTAACCAGGAGCTGGATTCCTCAGTACTTCTAGAGTGTGTGTGTATGTGTGTGTGTGTTTATATTATACAAATTTATATATATATAAATATATGTATTTTTTAATTTATTCAACAGAGAGAGAGAAGGAGAGAGCTGCACAAGCAAGGGGAAGGGGCAGAGGGAGAGGGGGAGGGAGAAGCAGGCTCCCCACTGAGCAGAGAGCCCAACGTGGGACTCGATCCTAGGACCCTAGGATCATGACCTGAGCTGAAGGCAGATGCTTAGCTGACTGAGCCACCCAGGCGTCCCACTTCTAGTATATTTTGAAGATTTAAATAGTTCTCTGTTTCCGTATGCATGTCAAATAGATTCCTGTAAGCAAGGACTTTTTTGTGTTCGAACATAAATTAATACCTTTTTTTTAAATGATCAGTGAGGCTGGCGAGCTGCTTTTTGGCTCGTTCTTATTTCCAGTGGGAAGACCCTTCAGGTTCTGAGTAGGAAAATAAATAAGGAAGTAAAATCTCTACCTCCTCCCCACATGCCACCTCCAGACTCCTTAACATGGCCCTTGAGAATTGATCCCAGAGCAACCAAGAGAGAGCTGGCATCTTAGCAGTGTATCCCTTAACCTCTCTGGGATTCAGTTTCCTCATCCATAAAATGGGGATGAAAGGATGGCGGTCGAGACAGAAGCGGTCAGAGCAGTGCATGACACGTAGTGAGTGCTCAGGAAGTGTGGGTGGTTACTAGTACTCTTCTGCTGCCATTGCCCCCCACTCTTCAAGAACATTTCTGGCTCAGATTGAAAGGTCTTGAGTAAAAATATTTTCCCCACACTTTGTGACTGGACTTCATCCATTTGACAGTGATCACAGGACCCCATGCCCGTGGCCCCCAACACATGGGTGCCCGTTTCTGCAGAGGCTACAGAGAAGGCCAGGTGCAAGTCCTGCAGGGCCTCTGAAACACTGACCTGCCACCGCGATCTCACCTCACTTCTGAGCCCTGCTGGGATTTGAAACGCGGCCTCTGTGGGGCAGGCACCTCATCGGAGGCTGAGTGCAGCCAGACCAAGCCTCCCCCTGAGGGGCAGTTATTGCTCAGAGCAACTCCTTGGGGGCAGGGACTGAGTCAGTGCCCCCGTACCCAGCACCTGGCATACGACAGGTGCTTCATAAATATTTACCGAATGAATGAGTCGTAATAGTGAAAAACAGCCTACTGAGAAGATCAAAATAGATCCAAATGGTTGCTTCAGATGGCAGTAGAAGCCAGCGCTCTCTTTCCTCCTGTCCTTGGACTCTGGTTCTTCTCATGTTGCCTTTACATTGTTTGAGATAAATCGTTAGCTGGAAAACTTGAATCTTAGCCTTCAAATGCTTTCATTCTAATGTCTTTCCTATCGAATCCAATTCAGATAAAATTATGTGTTTCAGGAAAAGTCTGTGATAGTGGTGATCTTCCAAGCCAGTTGTGACTTCCATTCCTTTTCCTTCTCCCTAGCCTGCAAGTGCAACGGGCATGCATCGCTGTGTAACACCAACACGGGCAAGTGCTTCTGCACCACCAAGGGCGTCAAGGGGGACGAGTGCCAGCTGTGAGTACCACACTCCTGCCACAGGCCACACGTGGGTTTAGTGACTGACAGCCAGGCCAGCTGGGTCTGTACCACCAGGGAGGCCAAGGAACTACGATGCTGCTGGACCACAAGAGCCACCCCTTTCCTGTGCCCTTTTGTTATGGGCTCTGGGGTGGGGGGGTCCCCAGGTTGATAAGTTTGGAATTCTACCTTTTCTACTTCAGGCGGATCTAATTCAGTCAGCCTCCATACTGAGGAGGTTCAGCAGCAATTCCTTGATGGCTCCTTAGGTCACATTTTTATGTTTGAGTGGCACTGACTGCATTGCTGACTTGGATCAGTCTTACCTTCAACCACTGTTCAATTTTTGTCACATCAGGAGATTGTACCCTTTCCCGAGAAAGAGCTGGAAGACTTGGTATTCCAGGACAGTGTTTTATTTAGCATTTTGGTTGTCTGATGATGGAGCTGATCCCCTGGCCTTTAATACATCCCTCCTCTTCTAGCATTTTCCTTGGTGAAGTCTGCTAGACATCTTCCGGGGAGGAGCCTGGGGTTCCCATCCATGAGGAGGCCAACAGCGTCAGACAGACATGGAATTTTAGCCCTGGCTCTGCCTCCAAGAAGCAGGGCACTCTTGAGACAAATCACTTAACTGCTCTGAACCTCAGTTTCCCTGTCCATCGATAGCAGTACTAGCAATAATTGTTTTTAGTGTCCAGATGAGTTGGAACAAGAGATTGTTCCCTGACGAATATATACCGGTTTGCCTCACTAGGAAACCTCATAAAACACAAGCACCAGCTTTACTCATTCTCTCAAGAAGAGACTTGAGAGAGAGGTCATAGTGATATCACAACATTAAGCTGAGACAAGCAGATACATCACTGGTAAACTTTTTCTCAAAAAACACTAGTAGTAAGGTCACCAGTAACTTTGATAGTGATGTTCAAGGAAGGAATTATTCTGTCTGCATTTTACAATTGACACCACTGGGCACGTTTACTGGTTTCATGATGCCTTAAAGCCAATATATGAAGAAATGTCTAATCAAAGATTTAGTTTAGCTTTTGGACCTAGGTTCCTTTAAACAGAACCATATAATAGAGCAGAATTAATCACTCCTGCCCTCAATTAGGCATGCAGTAACGAAATGAGGTATAGGTCCAGTGAAAGACTTTCTTTTCAAGAGATTTTAGTTAGAAGCAAGTGCTAAGAATCACCCTGGATCCAAGGACACAATATCGTGTATTATTTATCCAGCAAAAATGCTTGACCCAAGCTTTCCCCATCTTCCTAATAGCTCTTAGCTCCTGGGCCTGCCAGTATAAGTGGCCTTGTGAAGTGGGAGACTGCGTTTTGCTGATGTTCACAGATAATATTTGTGGGGGAAAGTAATGATTCTTTTTTAGTAGAACTTATTTTTTTCTCCAGACTTGTGAACCATGTTCAAGGACTTTTTAAAAAAAAGTGAAAGTGATTCTTGATATTTAGCCTTTTCTTATTTTTAAAGAATGGCTCAGTTTTATCCAGGGAGAACAGGAAGGAAGTGAGAAAAGGATATTTGAAAAATGTTTTAACTTCACTTTTAGAGGAATATTTAGTACACACAAAAGTTGAAATGTGTTTTTCATGAAAATAAGTAGGATCTAGATTTATTACATTTGGATTTGTCTCCTGTGCTTTGGCAAATGTTTGTCAGTTGGAAGGGTGTGAAGTGCTGGGTGGTCGGTACTCAGCATGAACACAGACTCCTCAGCCTGCCTGATCTGAGTGACCGTGAAGAATGTGATTATCATGACTCACACTTTTTGTAATGTAGTTTTATAGGAAAGGATCCGTGTGGTTTTAAGATGAATGTAGATTTGGTTTTAAGATGAATGTAGATTTTGTTTTAACCATCAATAGAAAATAATCTTTATTTTTATCCCCCTAGATGTGAGGTAGAAAATCGATACCAGGGAAACCCTCTCAAAGGAACGTGTTATTGTAAGTGTTTTCACAATTCATATTTGTCTAGAAGCAAAGTAGTTCAATAAAACTTAGTTATTTACTTTAACGTGGTTTAAGAATGGTAAGTGCTATGAGAATATAGCCCTTCGTGGAAGTGTGTCCTAATTTGATGTGTTTCCATTCTGTTACACTTATGCATATAGGAACACGATTTGAAGCTGTGTTAATTATGGTTGTGGTTTATGTTAATATGTCCATAGCAGATATCAGGGGAGATTACAGAAATACATACCTCTGGCTTTCCTCATTTATGTTCTCTTGAAACCTAATTTCATTTGCCATTACCTGGTTGGGGTCAACATATTGCACATCCAGGATATAGGTCAGAAACCATTTTTTTTTTAGGTTTTATTTATTTAGAGAGAGAGCACGAGCAGGGGGAGGGGCAGAGGGAGAGAAAGAATCTCCAGCAGACTCCGTGCTGCATGTGGAGCCAGACATGGGACTTGATCCCACCACCTGAGATCACAACCTGAGCTGAAATCAAGAGTTGGTACTCAACTGACTGAGCCACCAGGTGCCCCCAGAAACAATTCTTTTTTTTTTTTTTCCAAGATTTATTTATTTATTTTAGAGAGAGTGAGAGAGAGATAGCCAGGGGGAGCAGAGGGAGAGGGAGAAGCCGCTGAGCCCAAGGGAGGGCTCAGTCTCATGATGCTGAGATCACGAGTTAAAACCAAGAGTCAGACACTTAACCAGCTGAGCCACCCAGCCATCAGGTGCCCCACTATATCAGTTAATTTTTTGTAATCTGGTACACTGTAACTTATCTATCTTGAAAAAATAAAGCCGAAAGCAAATACCAGGTTTTAGCAGTGATATGGGAAACTAGAACCTTTATGTACGACCTTCATCCATCTTTGTGGAAATATAAAATGGTGTAGGCATTTTGGCAGAACCATTTGGCAGTTTCTTAAATAGTTAAAAATAAACTTACCAACAGCTCTCCATTTCCCTCTTCCCTTAGCCCCTGGCAGTCACCATTCTGTTCTGTTTCTATAATGTTGACTACTCTAGGTACCTCATGTAAGTACTGTCATTTAGTACAGGTCTTTTGTAACTGGCTTATTTCATTTGTCATCGTGTCTTCAAGGTTGTTCCAGGTTGTAGTGTATGTCAGAGTTTCCTTCCTTCCTTTCCTTCCTTTGAATATTCCACTGATGGACCGTAGGGTTGCTTCCGTCTTTTAGCTATTGTGGCTAATAGCTATGAGGTTTGGCTGCTATGACCACGGTGTACAAGTATCTTTTTCAGTTCTTTGGGTATGTACTGCAAAGTAGAATTACTGGATCATTTGATAATTCTCTATTTAATTTTTTGAGAAACTACCGTACTGTTTTCCACATTAGTCGCACCATTTCACGTTCCTACTAGCAGTGCACAAGGTTTCCGGTTTCTCCACTTGCCCACCAACACTTATTATCTTCTGTTTATTTGATAGTAGCCATCCCACCACGCATGAGGTGGTATCTCATTGTGGTTTTTTAACTGATTTGTATTTTCCTAATGATTAATGATGTTGAGCATCTTTTCGTGTGCTTACTGGCCATTTGTGTATCTTCTTGGGAGAAATATCTATTCAACTCCTCTGTCCCATTTTTAAGTCACGTTGTCAAGTTTTACAGTGGACTTTTTAGAATTAAATTATACCATCTTTAGGCAGCTCTTTCTGCTTGAAGGTCCTATTCCTGTGCTTGAATAAAACCACCTTTTTTATACTGAAAAAATATTATACCATCTTTGTCCAATAGGCTCTCTTTAAAGCTATTTTCTTTTGCTACATCACTTTAGTCTTTGAATGCTTTGTTGCTTTTGAGAACAAGATAATCAAGGCTCATATTCCTTGCTACAGACCTGGGATCAACCATTTTTCCATGGGGTCTTGGTTTCTTCTTTACCATTGATTTGTAACTTTGTATCCTTAAGCAAAACCTAATGTGTTATAGAGGTACAGTTAATATTTGTAGGTGAGTTAGATTGGAGCTGAAAGTCTTTAACTAGCGTCTTGATGTAAGAAGAGTTTGATAGGTTAGTCCAAATAAAATGATGCTGCCCACTTGACTGCCTTTGGAAAGCTTTCCACTCCCCAGGTGTAAGTGAGCTAAAAGTGTTTCCTAGCTATTGAATATTTGTAAGGAAATCAATCTGTATGTCTAGAGACCTATTCTGTTTTCATTTTTAAATACACATTTCTTTCTTTCCATAGATACTCTTCTCATTGACTATCAGTTCACCTTTAGCCTATCCCAGGAAGATGACCGCTATTACACAGCCATCAATTTTGTGGCTACCCCTGATGAAGTAAGATTTTTAAAGTTTTCTTGCTTTGTTTTGAATTCATGTGCATCTTTTTCTTGATATTTATGGGTAGAAACATTAGCAGTGATCTCCAGAGTGGAGTACACAGAACTGTTTAGAGGTTCAGGAAAGAAGTGTTAGAAGCTACCCTTTATCTCCTCTCCACCTCAAAGGTAAGAATGGTGTTGTTCAGGTTTACCAGGATCTGACACCCAGACTGACTGACTCTACACATAAACTTGGTTTGCCCATCAGCTCGTCACAGCCCCCACAGAAAAGGAGAGAGGACTGCAGGGGGATGTCCCTAATCAGAGGGGCACATGGCAGGGCCCAGATTTACTCTCTCAGAATGGACCAGAGGCTTAACAAGTACCTGCAAAGAAACTGCAGATTGAAGTTAATGCCACTGATGCCTGGGAGCCCACAGAGGAGATTCTTCTGTGCTTATAGGAAGTTGTTGGCCTTACTGGGAGGTAAAAACATTGAAGGTATAGCCAGGTCCAACAAGAAGTTAACCAGAAACAATTGGAATTAGTAGGACAACTGTTTGAAATGTGGGTTTATATCTACTTTCATTAATGATGACTGCCAGCCTGATATAAGGTACTGCCTGGTGGTAGAAGGGACCCAGCATAGCATGACAAATAAAAGTGAAGTGTCTAGAACATGAAGACACACCTATACGATATCTTTGATAAAATATAAAGTCATTCAATGGCCACTCCAGTACATAATGAAATTTTACTAAACTTGATGATAAATTATTTAGGAACTTCCTTGAAGGTTTATTTCTCATCAACATAACACAAAGCCACTTAACATTACAAAATTCCTGTCATCATAAACATGATGAAAAATACATGGAAAATAATATGACAGTAAGCCAGGTTGTTTTCCTTTGTTAACAAATGTTATTGTTAACAAACATTGCTAAATCTAAAAAATAAATAAATTAGTAGTAGTGGGATGTTTATAATCACATGGAAGTAAGATTTGTTTTTTATATTCCATTTTAATGATAAAATTAAGAAGAAATGTACTAGAGAGTGAATTTCTTTTTAAATAAAAATAATAGATGACCTTAAATGAAAATATTATATGGACACACTATATATCATATCATTTGAATGGCTATGTTGACTGGAATTAGTAAAAAAGAGTTTAGAATAAAATTATAGCAAAGTACCACACATGAAATTTATTTAATCTTATTCATAAGCAATTGGTTGAAGTACTCAGTCTTGCAGGATGTAATTGATGTTGTTAACTCTTTTTTGAATAAACATAATAGACTCTTGGTAATACTTCTTAATGAGGTGAGTGACCATGAAAATCTTTTGACCTCTCTGGAGTTCCTTGTTTATCTTATGACAGAATATTTAATGGAGTTATCTAAAGTGTATGTTCTGTCTTTTATAAAAGGACTAGGATTTCAAGTTTGTTGATCCTTTCTTTGGAAAGGATCTCCTATTAATTGTTAATAGTATTCTTCCACAAAATATTAAAAATAAACACTTGAGCTGTCCCTGTAAGAGGAAGGTGAGGTTATATCAATAAGCTAGAAGGTAACTAACTGCTTTGGGAGAGAAACTCCTGGTTTGGAGATCACATTTTGAAAATGGCTATTTGGAAATGTATCCATTGTTAAGGTTTTGCGCTGTAATTACCATCAAAACAACACCCTTAAAAATCTTACTGTTCTGACTTGTTTTCCTGCCTTTGAAGAAAAAGAATTCCAGCAGGATTGGATCCATTTGTAAAATATAAAAATACAACATCTGATTCACTTGCAAAAATAATTCTTTGAAGACAAGAAAGATTTATTAGTCAAGTTTCAGTGAAAACTGAAAATTCATATTACAATTTACCTAGTGTAGCCAATAGTGCACTTCAACCTGTTGGCTCAACGCATTTCTCAGAGATGTCTTTCTCAGTCATTAAAACCAAGAATCAAAACAAATTAGACGAGCTCTTCAAATTGTGGTATCTTTAATTTTCCCAGAGGATCCTTAGGAAGCTGATTCCCCTGACATAGGTCATAGAATTTCAGTCATTGTTCTCTGGTCAGGGGCTTTCTAAAACCTACTTTCTTATGGAGTTAGGCATTTGATAAAGTATTAAATCACATGCATGTTTATGAGAGAGAAATGGAATTTACTTGGGATATATTGCTTATATTGGGTAGAATTGTTACTGACTGTTATAAGCATGAGTTCCTTTTAAGACACTGTAAAATATCTGTTTTGTAGTTAAAATCGAGAGTAGTAAAATTTAATTACGTCTTTATTTTAAAATCTGGAAACTGTTGTAATTACTTTTCTAACTATTTGCACTGCTTATCAGCAAAACAGGGATTTGGACATGTTCATCAATGCCTCCAAAAACTTTAACCTCAACATCACCTGGGCTGCCAGCTTCTCAGGTAAAGACATACCTAGAGAAGACCTTCCAAGTGGAGTAGATTGGTAGTAGATTGAGAAATGCGTGTAGTTGTTGAGAAATGGGGCTCTGGAGCTAGACAGATGGGTTTGAAACCCACCTTTGCCTCTTGTGACCTGGGAGGCTCAAACAGGTGTCTGAAACCCTCTCTGGACCTTAGGGTTATTTGTCACAAAGAGCAGACAGCAGTACTTATCTCCTAAAATTGTGTCAGTGACATCAGGTTATACATGCCCTTGCCTCCTGTGGGGACAGGCTGAGTGTGCACTCAGCCCCCTCCCTGTGCCCAGCTATCCCAGCCCTGCCGCAGCCACCGCTCTGGCCTTCCCCTCGTCATCCCCGGCCAGGCCTCAGAAGTGAGAAATGGAACTATTTAAAACAAAATGAGATCTTGGTAGGTACAAGGAAGTATACTTTGGGAATTAAATCAAGCTCTAAGAGCATACTGTTTGCTCTCTTGTCCATCTTGCTACGATTCGCTAAAGATGATCTGGGCAGAAGATCTACTGAGGTAGGGACAGACGGGCCTGATGGAGTGCTTCTGAACGTAGCTTGACAGATGTGGGTTTGAACTCTGCCCGTTACCGACTCTGGTGCACTGTGCAATTGGGGAGGTTAGGCTTTCTGAGCCTGTTTGCTCGTGGATACAAGGGATGATAAAAACACCAAGCCGTGCACAGCCTGGTGAAACTGAAATGAGACAATAAAGGAAGTAGTCCGTGTAGTGCTTGAAACACAGCAGGTTCTCACCGGATGATAACCACGCTTCCTTCTCGTTGCTCTTTCAGTGCTGGTGTTCGGTCAGAACACAGCCAGTTAGACTGAAGCAAAATTAAACATTACCTTTGCATGTCTTATGTTTACCATGTCTTAAAAGATTGTATGGAATTCAGAAAAGGTTCAGAAACTTGCAGTGAGGCGATACTTTAAAGAAGAATTATCAGAACATTGGGAGAAGGACAACATCTCTGAGCACGTGAATGCTTTTCAATGATTGTCTCAATGAGGTGATGATCATTCTGGGCTCTAGTCACAGTATTTAATGCAGACATGCTAAAAATCTATTTTACAAATCTTTATAGACACCAGGATTCCAGAGGGAGAGTATGGAACGTTGAAGGACTGTTTGGGAATAGGATGAGTTTATACCAGATTGGGGGGAATTTTAATACAGTTACAGCTGATAGCAGAAGAGACTGCGTGGCCCTCTAAAGCTCCTTATTCCCTGCTGCTGTTGAGACATGAGGTCATTGCTTGTTAGGAAGTGAGAGGTGAATCACTGTTCCTGGTGCGGGGGATGGGGAGCACTGACAAGCAAGTCTAAAAGGGTAATGCAAAGTAGTTGAAGTGCTACAGGCAGAATGAAAGTCATTGTTGATAGGATTCTAGTGGTATCTGTATGTTCACAGTTAGGTGTCTGGTTGTTTAAGTGGAGAGGAGCTGCAGAGACTCCTGGAGGAACTATTCTGGTTAAGGGCACAGCCTTGCGTATCAGCCTTCCCACTGCAAATCTCAACTCTGCTTCTTGCTCGGCTATGTGACCTGAACCAAGTTACTTAATTTCTCTGAACCTCAGTTTCCTGATCTGTAAATGAGAATAATGAAAATTGTTAGAATTAGATGAGATTGTGCTCTTAGAGGCTATTCCTGGAACGTAGTAAGTGTTGAGTAAATGCTGACTGTTGTCGTTATTAATGAGGGCAGATTCTGTTCAAAAAAATAGACTCTTGTATTTCTTTCTTTTCTTCCTGACAGCTGGAACCCAGGCTGGAGAAGAGATGCCTGTTGTTTCAAAAACCAACATTAAGGAGTACAAAGATAGCTTCTCTAATGAGAAGTTTGATTTTCGCAACCACCCAAATATCACTTTCTTCGTTTATGTCAGTAATTTCACCTGGCCCATCAAAATTCAGGTAAGAAGTGTTTTTTGGTCTCAACCTGCAGACAGTGAAAACTTTTCAGTGGAGACTAAATCCTCTAATTTGAAACTTGAGGTAAATGGGGTGTACAATACTGTTTTGCCTTTGTAGCCTGTGGCAAAGGAGTACTGAGCACATGACCACCGTAGGGAAAGCGGTGGTGGGGATGGCTTAAATCACTTAAGAAAGAGAACGATAAGCCCTTCTGAAAGCCAGTTGGCATGTTCCAAGTTTGGTAATTACAGCTGTATTCATTTCTTCACTGAGCACTTCCCATGTAAAAGCCTGCAGAGCTTCGGTTCTGGAATGAGTCAAGTAGGGATAAATGAAACACACTGAAAACCAGTGAGAGCCAGAGTGTGGAAGTGTCCTATGGAAGGATGCCACAACTGCTGTCAGAGTTTAAAGAAGATAGATTGGGGTGGAGTGGGCGGCAGCATCGGGTTGCGTGGGAGAGCACGGGCCATGTGAGTCCTGGCCTCTCCTCCACAGATCAAGTAGCTCTCCACATGACAGGGGTTTTGTGTGCATGACCTGAAGGCGTGTTACCTGCTGCTGCCACTGATGTTATCAACCTCGAGCCTTTTCTCACTTCTCAGGGTTTCGGTGGACTTTCTTATCCAAGACCCATGGCCCCATTTCTACTCTTTGTCATTTGCCGCTGTGTCCTCCAGGCCTTGCCTCAGTACTTTTCGCTTTTACCCCCTCTCTTTGGGGTGAAAATGGAATCCAGGGCGGGGTGAATTTCAGGGACGGGGCCAGGGTCAGCCACGGAAGCATGGTCATGGGCCTGGTCTGTGGCCGTCTGCCGACTCTCAGAAACAAGGCGTCACTGATCAGTTAGGATGAGTTTGAAACCAAGTCCTGGTGATTTTGTGTTCATGCCTTGGGACTGTGACTAAAGAAGAATCTTTCTGTTCCTGGAATGTGGGGATAGGCTCTGTATTGTGATTTTTTTCTCACCAACTGCTTCCCTTTCTCTGTCTAGCTGGTCACCCATGTGTTCATCCTCTAGTCTGCTTTCCCTTTGATCTTACACACTGTCTGCTTCCCTCCTCAGCCGGCATTCTCTGGTGTTGGCTCCCTATTTGTGCTTCCTCTTACCCACTCATCCCTCAGCCTGCAGCCGTGCCTCCTTTCCTCACCACATCCTGAAAACTGTCCTAAGCAGAAGCCAGTCACCCAACCAATTATCCAGTCCCCTCTCCTTCTCACTGAGTCATTGGAGTCACCGTCTTTCCTGCCTTCCTGGTCCTTCTTTCCCTGACTCTCTGGCCAGGCTCTTGAGGGAATCTCCTTCCTTAAACATTGAGATTATCTGGGAATCAGACGTTGGTTTTCCTTTGTCTTCATCCCACACAGTTTCCCTGGGTAATTCCATCCCACGTATAGGATTTCTGGTGCTCTTTCTGTATTGGTGATTCTCAGTTCTGTCTCCAGCCCAGCTTCTGCTTGCGCTCCACACCAGTATTCTCAGTTGCTGCCTAGACATCTCCAACTGGACAATCACGAGCTCCTGCCATTGGCACGTAGTCGTTCTTGTGACCTTAGCCCCAAACCCCATGCTTCCTTTCTCAGTGAATGACACTTCTGTTCCAGTTTTCTTTTGCTGTCCTTGTTCTGTTTTTATATCAAGGTTATACTAACCTTTAATAATTAATAATTATAAATTGAGGAGTTTTCTTCTCATTTCTGGAAGAGATTATATAAGATTAGAATCTCCCTTATAGGGACGCCTGGGTGGCTCAGTGGGTTAAAGCCTCTGCCTTCAGCTCAGGTCATGATCCCAGGGTCCTGGGATCGAGTCCCACATCAGGCTCTCTGCTCAATGGGGAGCCTGCTTCCTCCTCTCTCTCTCTGCCTGCCTCTCTGCCTACTTGTGATCTCTGTCAAATAAGTAAATAAATAAATCTTTAAAAAAAAAAGTATTTAAAAAAAAAAAAAGAATCTCCCTTGTAAAATTGTTAGTATTTTTTTGTTTGTAGAAATTTTTTTTTTTAGCTGTTGATTCAACTTCTTTAAAAGTTGTAGGTTATTTTGGATTTTCTGTTTCAGTCATTTAAAATAATTTTTTCTAGGCATTAATTTATTTCATTTTTTCAGATGTATCAACACAAAGGTATTCACACTATCCTCTAATCTTTGCAGCATCTGTGCCTGAGAGTACTGAATCATACACTTAAAAATGCTTAAAACAGTAAATTTTATCTTAAATATTTTTAACCCAATTATAAAAAATTTTATTTTTTTAAGATTTTATTTATCCATTTGTCAGAAAGAGCGTGTATGCAAGCAGGGGGAGGACAGGCAGAGGGAGAAGCAGGCTCCCCACTGAGCAAGGAGCCCAAGGTGGGACTCAATCCCAGGACCCTGGGATCATGACCTCAGCTGAAGGCAGGCACTTAACTGACTGAGCCATCCAGGTGACCCCAATTACAAAAAATTTTAAATATGACAGCAAGATTTTTCTTTGTAGCTATAAACAACTTATTCTAAAATTTATACAAAAAGGCAGAGATTCTAGAATAGCTGTAACAGGTGTGAAAAAATGGAATATTGTGGGAAGAATCACTATCCACAATGTTGAGGCTTACTGTTCAACTATAGCAATCAAGACTTTGTGGTTATTGGTGGAGGGATAGACACAGATCAAGGAATAGAATACAGAACCCTGAAACAGAACCACATAGATGTGTCCAACTGACTTTTGATGAAGGAACAAAGACAATTAATTCAATGGAAGAAAGATAGCCTTTCAAATAAGTAGTGCTTGAACAAGTAGACAACCATCGACAAATAAATGAACTTCAACCTAATCCTCATATCTTACACTAAATCAACTCAGTAAGGATCACAGCCCTTTTCTTTTAAAGTGAAATAATTATTTATTTAGCTTCTTGTCAAGCCAAAATATTTTGTGTGTATACCACTATAATTAGCATGCCCTCTGTAACAGGCAAAATTGTACATCAAGTTATATTTCATGTTACCTGATTATATAAAAATATAAAGTAAAAATGATTTATCAGTTCCATTTAACATTACTAGTAAACAATTCAGCAGGAGATATGATGTACAAAATTTTAGTAAAATATGACGCAGGAAGAGCTTAATGTAATTCTTGCTTGTCATAATTTGTTATGAATATAGAAAGACAACTTTTTAAAATGTTGTGTTTACTAATATTCTAGCAGTAGCTTTTTGTAACAAGGCATAGCATACTAGGACTGCCACTCAACTTGTTTATGGTAGGTCACAGCTTCAATATGCTGTTTAAAAAAAAAACAAACCTGTTTTTTTAAAAGGTTTTATCTACTTATTTCAGAGAGAGAGAGAACACACAAGCAGGGGGAGGGGCAGAGGGAGAAGCAGACTCCCCACCGAGCAGGGAGCCCAATGTGGGACTCAATCCCAGGACCCTGGGATCATGATCTGAGCTGAAGGCAGATGCTTAATGACTGAGCCACCCAGGTACCCCAAAAGCCTGGTGGGGTTTTTTTGTTTTTAATTTTGTTTTTTTACATGTTAAGTATCTTGGCAAGTATGCCATTAAATACAGCAACGAGTTTAAGATAGCAAGAGTAAGGAGTTAAAAAGGCTAAACATTACAACCTAAACTAAATTCATATCACTGGTTACATAGAATATTCCTGACTAGTTAAAACCTAACAATATAAAACATGCATTTTAGAATCTTTAGCAATCAAGTTCAAAAAATATCTATTTGAAATGTAATGAAGTTTAGTCAAACTAATTCAAATGTTTTAACAGTTTATTTTATTTTATTTTATTTTATTTTATCTGTTCAGTGTTCCAAGATTCATTGTTTATGCACCACACCCAGTGCTCCATGCAAAGGTGCCCTCCATAATACCCACCACCAAGCTCACCCAACTCCCCATCCCCGTCCCCTCCAAAACCTTCAGTTTGTTTCTCAGAGTCCACAGTCTCTCATGGTTCGTCTCCCCCTCCGATTTCCCCCAATTCACTTTTCCTTTCCTTCTCCTAATGTCCTCCATGTTATTCCTTAAATGCTCCACAAGTAAGTGAATCCATATGATAATGACTCTCTCTGCTTGACTTACTTCACTTTCTAGTGCTAAAAAACGTTCAGCATTACTGAAAGAGAGGTAAATTCCAGAGCCTTTGGGGCTCTGTCATGCTGCAAAGGGCTCTTTCTCTGTTTCACTTAAATCAGGCAACAACAGGGATGCCTGTGTGGCTCAGTTGGTTAAGCGTCTGCCTTTGGCTTGGGTCATGATCCCACTGTCCTGGGATCGAGTTCCACATCAGGCTCCTTGCTCAGAAGGGAGCCTGCTTCTCCCTCTGCCTGCTGTTCCCTTTGCTTGTGCTCTCCCTCTCTGAAAAATAAATAAATCTTTAAAAAAAACAAAAAACAAAATAAAACAAAACAAAAAAACAGCCAGCGACAGAGTCCAAGGATGTCTGGTGGCAAAGGTGCTGTACCCAGCTCTGCCCTCCCCATGAAGCATGGCTGTTGTGTCGGCAGAAATAGGGTATGTGAGGATAAAAGACATGCTGTTCTGCTAACTGGTTAGCACCCTCCCCCACAAAGCTCCTTCCCCAGGTAAATAAAAGTCTAGAAGGGGGGGAATTAAAATACACTTATCTATAGAGTAAGGATTTTGAAATATCAACGTGATCCCTATTTCAAAAATGTTATCTAGAGTCCCCTGATCATTTCTTTTTTTTTTTTTTTTAAGATTTTATTTATTTGACAGAGACACAGTTGGAGAGGGAACACAAGCAGGGGGAGTGGGAGAGTGAGAAGCAGGCTTCACACTGAGCAGGCAGCCCGATGCGGGGCTCAGTTCTAGGACCCTGGGATCATGACCTGAGCTGAAGGCAGATGCTTAATGACTGAGGCACCCAGGCGTCCCTACCTGATCATTTCTGATTACACCTTAATGATGCATCCAGATTCAACTTCTGTTGACTTATCATGAGATACTTCTAGTCAGAAATATGAACTT